ATATATATATATATATATATATATATATATATATATATATATATATATATATTTATATTATTAGAAAAACAGTAGTGTCGAAGAAACTGTAAGTTCAAAGTAATGAGTTTGAGAGTATATCAGACATATTTATGAGTTATAGTATGTCAAGATTTAACATACTGGATGTTATACTTAATCTTAGTTTCTCATTCATAAAACTTGTTAATTTATTAGAACGTACTTTGAAATCAGCCCTAGTATATTCGTTTCAAATTTGGTTATTACAGAGGAGCTTGGACGGTGGAGGTGAGCGTTTAAAGCGTTAGATAGGGGCTTAAAGCCACAACTGGGTCGCAAGTCCCAGTCACTGTTGAAGCTCCTCTCACTACAACGATGGAACCGACACACGCACCGTGAATACATTGAATGATGAGAGGTTTCGTCTCATTAATGTAGTTCATTGACTGAGAAACGGTATGTTTCGTGCCGTATGTAGTGTGACGATGGGAACTTGTGGTACACAGAGCTTGTAATTTAGAAATAGCTCTGGTGTATCTTAATGCTTAAATCTTAATGATAGATGGAAATGTAAATGTCTAAGAACTGTTCATCAGTCTGTATAGTCTAAGCAGGTGTGTTAAACATTTGGCTTCATATGATGTAAATAAAATGTATCAAATTAGTTAGATTTTCTAATATTAAATGCGTATAATTTTGTTTTACCTTTTTTATATCCTACAGGAATAACTGTGTGCTGAAAAAGCACGGTGAACATACTACTAATAGTTACGATCCTCTAAGTATCTTCAGTCCACTTTAGTGATGATAATTATAAAAATTAAATGATGCCTAATTATAACAAAATTACAGATCTTTTTTGTAGACAATTTCACGATCTACAAACTTTGTCTGAACCACTTTTCGATAGCTCTCGTTCTTTCAGAGATATACGCAAAAAAACACAATTTTGTGACCTTTGACCTCGTGTAAAAAACAACGCACAAGCTTGATCGATGGGGAATTTTGACATATCATGTGTAATGACGTATTCAAGACTTATACAAAAATCTATCTCGTTGGGAAATAATGCAAACTGGAATCATAATTAAGTCTATTTTAACTGAAGTGATACATTTTCAATAAAAATTTAATTAAAACTTCATCTTCACGAATATAGGAATCGAATCCATAACCTCCGGTCCGGTATATTGTGTTCCACTAGCTTTTTAAGTTAATATTTTTTTCTATATACATATACTGTTAGATATTTTTTGAGTATTGAGTATATTTATTCCACAATATTATATATTTAGTATACATCTTAATATTGTTTTATATAGTCTCATAATATATATTGCCAAAAACACATAATTGCACATGCATAATGTACATATTTTAACACACATTCTCATCTCCAATTCATCACCATCCGCACGAACTTCTAATGGACCTTATAACCTTATAAAGATAATGAGATCTGAAGGCTGTATATTTTTAGTTCAATTTCATACTAATACTCTCCATTTAACAATAGTACTGGTAGTTTTATTAATAACTACCAATTACCTGCTATATGAAAAGACTACTAATCCCTACTAATATTATAAATGCGGAAGTAACTCTGTCTGTCTGTCTGTTACGCTTTCACGCCTAAACCACTGAACTGATTTTAATGAAATTTGATATAGAGATAGAGTTGACCTTGAGAAAGAACATAGGATAGTATTTATCCCAGACTTTTGAAAGGTACTCTTGGAAACGCGATATAACCGAACTCCACGCGGGCGAATTGCGGGCGGAAAGCTAGTTGATTATAATTTTTTTATCAATTATGTTAATTAATTTATCGATAGCTTTTTGACTAAATAAAATATATATTCCTCTGTGTATATTTTGACAATTTGAAAATAACATTAAAACATATGATAACAGTCGCAAAGTAAATATATAATATTATATTAATAATTAGTATGATAGGTTTTATTTGTAGTATAATTGTGTAGTTCATGTTATAATGGTCAAAGGTCTCGATCAGTTAGTATCTGTTTGTAAATAAATCACAAAAAACTATGTAAATGATTTTTATAGAGAGATGTTATCGTAAATATTCATTGAAGAACTCCATAGTAAATGAAACGAGCAGAACAATGGGAAAAATAATTACATATAAGTATATCTTCACATAATTAGGTACATAATAAGGTATGTAGCACAAAATAATATATAAGTAGATTATATTATAAAAAAAATAAACTGGACGTAAAACGATATGTATATTTAATATGTATATTTATATTTAAAAAGTAACGGTTTTCACTGATTTATTCTTTATTTTATTTCCTATATTTACATAAAATAACATATATGTATATATATTATGTATACGAGTTCATTTTATATATTCATATATTCTAAATAATATTCCTAAATCTAATCTCAATGACATGTTGAAGGTTATAGCAGTTTGTTTTTTTATTTCATTTATGAACAACTACATTACATATCGCAGATTCTAAATTGTACTGAAATTATTTGAACATTTCCATTAACGATTTTGTAAATAGTACTTAATTAAATATATAAATTTTTAATATTCATATATATGCTTTCGAACAAATTCATTTTATAATAAGAATTTTGTCAAGACAAACATCTTTTGTTTTGCCATATAAAAAAAAATTAGGGTTGGTGATAAAAAACGTAAAAATTCCGGGTTGTATGTACCTACATATTTTTAATGCTACATTATAAAAAAAATAAAAATTTGGTCCGAAAAAAAAACATTAAGTATGAACAACCGTTATGACTTGACCGATTCTCAGAACTACTCATGCTCACAAAAATTCAATAAAATCGGTCCAGCCGTTTCGGAGGAGTTTTCTGTCTAACACCGCGACTCAAGAATCCCTACTTCCCTACTAATATTATGTATAAATGCGAAAGTAACTCTGTCTGTCTGTTACGCTTTCACGCCTAAACCACTGAACTGATTTTAATGAAATTTGGTACAGACATAGAGTTGACCTTAAGAAAGAACATAGGTCATAGGATAGTTATTATCAAAGACTTTTAGTAGGTTCTCTTGGAAACGCGATATAACCGAACTCCACGCGGGCGAAGCTGCAGAAAGCTAGTTTTATATATAAGATGTATGTCATAATGTATCCGACCCTAGTTTTCGCAATAAGTCAATTTCACAAGCAATATATTTCCGAGACATACAAAGAACGTACGATCGAATCCATGCTCACATTCTTCATCATTGTTGCATTATAATGTGAACTGTACTTTATAGATTGAGAACAACTTGAAATGAATTATTTCCTGGACTTGAAGTATTCTGAAGCACTAGAAACTGTTTAATTTCTAATTTATAATATGTACGTATGAAATTTACTACGTAAACTACTAAATATAGTATAATGAGATGAGATTTTCGCGAGTATTCATTTAAATGAAACTAATATTCAGACGAGATGTCCCCGTGATCACGGTTGTTGTAAAGAAACCGAAACGTCGGAACTATTTAGTTTATAATAAAAAAAAAATCGCGTAATAAATCCGAAAATACTAGTTACATTTAAATTACTAAATATAGTCTAGAAAACTCACATAACAAAACAATGTATAAATGAACATAAATACACATAAAAGAATGTAAATGTAAAAGAAAATTTGAATCATAAAAATTAATCTTTAATTAAAGCAAGGCTATCGCGCGGTCTTAGCCTCGGGGTCCAATTACAGAACCCCAAGCAACGAAACCCCCTCCTGACCCCTACCGACCCCTCTTAACCCCTAACATGAGCATCTTGTTTACATGCATGCATAAACACGCATATAATCATAATATTGGTAGTACTGCAACTATAGACATTTAAATCCCATTCAATATTATTAGGTATTCAGATACAAATCATATAAATAATCTTTTATGATATACTTGAATAGCTTAATACAGAGATTATGAAATTTCTTTGATTAAAAGAGTGAAAGAGTGAGTTAATGAGTGAGTGTAAAGTGGGCAATGAGTGAAGGACTATTGAGTGCAACACTAGTTGATCTCAACACATGCAAACACTTATCTGTTTTTTTATACAAACAAAAGAATATAAATATCTTAACCATCTTTTTCTTTATATTTATCTAAAAATTTAATGTAATGTATTTATATTTTAAAACTTTAAAAGCAACAAAAAATATTATAATGGCATTACATAGTAGGATTAAAAATTAATTTCAAAATCTAACAAATTGTTCTATGATTAATGGCAAATCTTTGAACCTTTTAAATTATTTTATTTAGTGTTATTACAAAAGTCTAGGGATAATTTCAAATTAATAAATGGAAATAAATATTAGTACTCGTTTTGTGATAGAAGGTCCACAGTGGTATGTTCACTATTTAGAGAACTAACAAGAAAATAATAAACCTTAAATATATATTATTGTTGTATAACAACATTATTGTTGAATAAAATTTACAGATTTTATACATTATTGTTGTATAGTGCAATAAGGTTTAATCGGCATAGAACTTTTGTTTAAGCTCTCATAGAGTTTTTTTAAGCTCTTAGTAAATATTAATTTTAATAGGAATAAGTCTAAAATTAATAAAGAAAATAAAATTAGAATCAGTTAAACAAAAAAATAAGGTAGGTATATATTGGAGGCTGAATTGCCCAATCACTATTTATTTTATTTTTTTCTAAAATATATATATAAAAAATATATGTATGAAAAAAATAAACATATTAATAAAATAATTGTATGTTTTCATTTATATTTACATTTTAAATAATGATTTCATTTATAAATATTGTACAAGCTTATTTTTTTGTGTAGTCTTATCCTGTATATTATTTATAAAACAATGAATTCCAACCATAAAAATATTTTTTCTTATTTACAACTAAAAATATTATAAAAAGAGGTTTTATTAAGTATATTTTCATTTTTTAAATAAGTTTTGCGCAATAAACTTTATTAGTTATAATTAATATCATAAAACCACTTACCGGGATGCATTAAAGCCTGATCGGCTGAGATTTGAGCCGCCGCTAGCAGGACCAGCAGGGCGGCTCCAGCATCAACCGGCGTCATTTTATCAGCTAGTCCCTCAATTTAGAGCCCACATATCAAATAAAGGGACAATTCACGAATATTCAAAAGTATACACTACGCACAACTTAATACGAATAGCGCACTGCCAAAATTCCTATCTCCACACATCAACCTGTAGCAACTACACTATCCCGGTTTCTTATAGCCACACATAATTTAACAATACAGTCCAGTTATTTTCCTATATAAATCACGTACTTTAAGTATCGAAATAATATTTTTTAGCAAAAAAAAAATTGTATTTTTATAAAATCGAAAATATTCTATTTTCAAATATTGTTCCGGCACTCGATAAAAACATAAATAAAGCAGTCGGAGAGCTCGACGCTACATACGCTCGATTCTCACGACAGCTTTGAATAAACTGACACAGATTATAAAAATAAATTACACGAAGAATGTTTATATGCAGACGCTTGTTGTGCATGATATCTGTATATTGAACCTTTGTATTTATATCTTGATGTAACTTGTACAAACGTCTGTCTTTATTTAATAAGTACGTTATTTATAAGTTTCTTCAGTTTAAGTAATCTTGATTTTTAATTAGTTTTAAATGTGTTTAAAATATCAGTCCTTGTAAGAATAAAAATGTCTGTTATATTATATGTTTTGTACATGTCCCAATAAAAATTCAATATTGGTCCATATTCTATGAATCTAAATCCCGGAGAACATTGTAAACAAGACATAGGAAAAGGAATAAAAAGAGATGCTTTATTTCTTTGGTTGTTATTTATTTGCATTAAGTATTATAAATTTTATTGCGAACATACTATGTACACTTTTCAGAAAGTAAGTTTTAAATTATATAAATATCATGAAAATGCTTTAAAAATTAAAGGCGGCCATCTTGTCGGTCCGCTATATTGAATTCAGAATGAACTTTATTCAATGAAGTTAATATCATCATCATCCAATCTAAATCTCAATATAAAATTTCATCTTTCGTCGGCTGATTTCATTAAGATTTAAAATCAACTTACAAAAGTATTTGTAAATTAAATAGAAGACTATAATTAAGGATAATGGAGGATTTAAAATTGGTGATGTTTATATCAATGGAAAAAAAGGTTCAGGGAGGTTTTTGGCTAAATTATTGTCCATATAATAAAATTTTAATTATAATCTCTGGATGTCATAACTAATATAAAAGTGAAATGTTAAATTATAATATATGAATATGTAGTCGTAGTTAAAGACGTGTTGGGGTTAAGGGGAAGATAATTGTTTTTGTTTTCCAAAGTTTATCTTCCAATATATAAAACGATAAAACACATTACTAAATAAGTTATCAGCACCACCTTTAATATTCAAAAAAGGGAAATTATTGCATTTTTATTATAATGAAACGAAATACCAAAACCTTATATTAGATGCAGTGGTGTGCAGAACGATATCATACTCTTTCATTAGATACAAATTAAACGTACAAAGAATTTATAGGAACTTCATGCTAAAAATTATTAGTTAATTACATGTCACAAGTTACCATCTCAAATTTTAATGTCAACTCCAAAGCTCTTGCTCAATCTTTTTCATTCTACATAATATATCTATTAAAACTTCAAATCAGCCCTTAAACCAAAACTTGAATCAGATGTTTAGGTACCATTCAGCATTCTTTATTAGGATAAATCTTAGATTTAGATGTTTTATTTTCGAACCAAAATTTTTGTTCTACAATTTTATAACAAATCTATAATTTTTCAAATCCTTTTAAAGAAAGAGTTTCTAAATAAAAAAAATGACAACTACAATTCTCAAAATGTCTTGCAAAATATCAATACATAACACTGTCAAGTGTCATGTGGACAAGTGTCACTTTAAATTGAATTTTATTTTCATTGGTCATACGATTGTCTTATTTTTGTTAGGTAATTACATTCTAAATTATTTTTATTAAGGTTTAGGCACCCTACGAAAATTTTCATAGCCACAAATAATTCGTAGGATTAGTTTTGCGTGTATATATACGTAAAAAGTTATAAAATTTCAAATTATGTAACCAAATTAGGTTAGTTTGGATAATTTGTGTTGTTTTTGTTTTCAGTGATCCAAGATGGGTGGTCACGGCCATGGGGCTCCTTACACCATACCGAAGTATACTGAATTCAAGACTAAAGGCATCCCACAACTGGAAGAACTTGAGAAAGCGCTCGCCCAAAAAGGATTGAAAGACCCCTGGATCAGGTTTGAAAATCTTTTACCATCCCACTTCTAGTATATTATTTAAATAATCACTAATAATTTTTATTTGGGAGTTAATTTATCTTTCAACATTCGTGTTTTTACTATCTAATATAATTATTAATGTGAACAAAAAACATCATAAGGAAACCTTGACTTATAATTCCACAATATAAGTTTGAAATCACCAACCCGTCTTAAGCAAGCGTGGTGATTAATGCTCAAACCTTCTCCATGTGAGAAGAGGCTTTTGCTCAGCAGTGGATTCTGTTAGGCTGATGATGAATAATCATTACAATTCTTGTAGGAATGAAGCCTGGAGGTATCATCCCGGTTTTGGCACAAAGCTTCAGAGAGCTCGTAAGCTGTTCTTCCGCGGGTTTCCCCTTGGTCTAGCACTCACCATTGCTACCGTTGCCTTCGACAAGCTGGCCGGCGGAGAGGACCATGATCACGGACACCACTAGTGTGATTGTAACAATGTTGATATTAGCTAATGTTATTTAATATACCTGGTAAATATATTTGTCATTTACATTTAAAACTCCTCACTTTATTTATTAGAATTAACTATTAAAGTAAATGAACCCAATAGCTGTATCAACATTTATATTATTTAAAATGCTATGTAGTTTTCTTGAATATCCAAATGCTTAGATAAAAACTTTTATTTTGATTCTGAATAGTAGGTTAAAGTAGAATAAAAATTTTAAAAATATTCTTGTCGTGTTTCCAAACAAGACATTTTTCCAATGAAGCCCAGTTCAAAAAGTAAGTCATAAAACAAAGAACTAATCAGTTCTACTTTAATTTGTAACTTACCAACTGAATTTTTGTTTATGATTTCACAGTACTTTGTTCTGGTGATTTAATACTACATACTACTGTAGTTTTCAAACAATTTTTTATATAAACTTATTATATCATATTATTCAACACAGCTTTTTAAATTTACAGTAGAAACTTGATTAACCGGACTAACAGTTGTCGATAGGCATTCGGATAACCGAATGTATGAAGAAAAGCCGGTTTTGTGCATATGTAGTACATAATATTATATGTTTATTCAAAAAAAGTAAGAAACACATATCAACGAAAATCAGTGTTTATTAATAAATAATTAAAGGATATATTTTCTTAAATTAAATAAAGGTACATACAGATACATGTACATACTAAAAACAGATTTAATCATGAAATAAATTACAATATGTGTTTGGTAATTTGCAATTGGTGATCATGAAGTAAAATAATAAGTTTAATTTGGTTTTAGAATATTTGATTATTGTCATTTGACGTACGCCACTCTCAACAACACCACCATCTTATGCTTTGACATTTTTTCTTGTCCGGACTTGGCCGTAGTCCGGATAATCGCGAATTCGTATAACTGAGGGCTGGATAATCCAGTTTTTACTGTATATAAGATTTTCTATATAATAACTTTCTTATCTTTGATCTAAAAAGTGGTTTGATAAGTGTTTGAAGTTGATGTCTGTTTGAGAAATCATAGTTCTCAAAGAAATTTCCCAAGTTCTATGCATTTTCCATTTGAATACCAGCTGGCATAATAGTGGTGGAACAGTGTAAGGGTATCAGCTCTTTTGCAATAATTAAATGACAATTGAAGCAGAGGTTTTTGAAATTTTGATAAAATGTTGTTATTAGGTAGTGTGTTTGATTCAAGCTGAGCTTTGCATTTGTGTGAGTGCACACGAAAATGTGTAGGTGTGGTGTAAAAATTTTGAATGCCATATTGTTTTCATTAGTTTAAAACCGGTTTATACTGTTTTTACTCCTCCCTGCACCTTCCGCACTTCACCCTTTGTACTGGTATCAAATGTATTGACAAATGTATAATATATAATGACCAACTTAATTATCTTGAGCGATTACAAAATCTAGCTATTCGGTTTATTTTCGGTCTCCGAAAGTATGACCACGTTTCAGAGTTTCGCTCAAAGCTCAAGTGGCTCCCTATACGCCGTCGCCGGAACCTGCATACTTTTTCTCTTCTGTACTGTGTGTTATTTAATCCAAATGCTTCTCATTATCTGAAGGAGAAATTTGAATTCTTAGGAGACCAGTCTAGAATTCGACCAACACGTAGGGTCGTACTGAAAATGCCTGCTCATAACAGCAAATTTTACAGCCAGTGTTCACTGTTCAGGCTAACCCTTTGGAACGACTTGTCATTGAGCATTCGACTATCGAAAACCCTACGTGCACTTAAAAACTCCATAAAGAACTTATATCTCTCATCACAGTAATGATGACGACATGGTTATGACAAATATGTAACGCCATGCCATAAGTGCCATGCCATGCCAAGCCCAGCCAAGCCCAGCCAAGCCACCGCCTGAGCCAGGCGGAAGTATTGCCATGACAGTATGCCGCCGAAACTGTCTTAGCCAATCACAGAGCTTAGCCAATCATAGCGTTTGACCAATTAGCGAGAGCGTCAGTGGCGTCACATCGTTTAATTTTGGAATTGCAGGGGGATTGAGAGAAGATACCCTGGAAGGAAAGGACCTCTCTCGTTACGGAGTGCTAGAGGAATCTCTGACAGTGTACCTACGGGATTGTGTGAAAAGTAATAAACGCCAGATTAAACTAAAGTGTGTGTATAATTATTGTCCTCCCGTTTCACTCAGAAGTGGGATATGAAGCGCAGTCGTCCTAACGAAGCTGGGTGTAGTGTCCGCCCTCCAGTATGGAGCGAAAATCAAGACGATAGTGACGAGGAAGAAAATAATTCACTTCCACCTGCAAGAAAAATATTGAAGTCATTGTTAGAAAATGAAGTCGAAAAAGCAATTTACAACCTTAATGACGACACTATTTCGTTCAACCACGTCAAGAGTCATCGTGCAGCATCCCTTATTCCCGAATTCGATCCCGATGGTGAAGATTGCACCGTAACTTCATGGTTAAAGAAGATTGATCAATTAGGAGACATACATGGGTGGGACGAGAAAATCAAAGCTTTTTACCTGCAGGATAAATTACGTGGTCAAGCTCGCAAATGGTACAACAGACTTGAAAACTACGATTACTCCTGGGCCGAATGGAAACATATGCTGGTACGAGCCTTTCCAAAACATCGCGACTTTAGCCTACTATTAAACGAAATGATGCAAAGAAAGAAGCTACCAAACGAGACGATGACCAAATATTATCAAGACAAAATTGCTATGTGCTTCCGTTGCCATTTATCTGATAGTGCTAGTGTATCGTGTATCATCAGAGGCTTACCCGTATACCTACAACCGAATGCCCGAGCGTTTCAATGCCAACGTCCTGATGAGTTATATGAATCTTTCCTCTGTGCTCTTGATGATTATCATTCTCCCACATTTGAACCTCGGATGATGACCAAAGACACGAAACAATCGTCGAGTTCGGATAAAAAAGTCAATCCTGAAATTGATCCTTGCCCCCGTTGTAAGAAGACCGGCCACATGTTGCGCAACTGTACATTACCGGATCAACGTATTTGTTTTAAATGTGGTCAACAAGGACACATCGCCACTCGCTGCTCCGGCACTTCGGCTAGCAACTCCAGACGTTCTATGGAATCAAATGACAACATTAAAGAGGTTAGAATGGTGCAAAACTACAACGAAATCTACAAAAAGGTAGCAAAGGTGAATGGAATTTATATTAAGTCTTACATTGACACCGGAAGCCAAGTTAACGTTATAAATGTCCAGATGGTGTGTCTCTTGTCGCTCGATGTTACACCTACAAGTACACGGCTCAAAAGCTTTTCAGGTGATTTTTTGACTAGTCGTGGAGTAGTAGAATTTGAGTTAGAAATTGATAATATTCACATACAATGCACGGCTCATGTGATGGAGGCCGACATGCAGGATATTCACCTACTGATTGGCCAACCCGTTATCAATGCAGAACATGTATCGTTAGTAGTCACTAATGGGAGAGCCACATTGACTCGGAAAACAGATGTCTCGCCAGAATTCGATGTCGTCGAAGACAAGAATAAATTTATGGTTACTACATTGAACAAGGAGTCTTTACCGCCTGGTGCCTCCATCATTAAGGTTAGGGTGGTCGGTAATGGAGATGGGAATGAAGTTTGCACCACACCACGCCACTACGAACTCCATGGTGTCTCATATTCTCTACCGGCAACGTTGCTTCACGGCGGAGAGGGTTACATGAAGGTGGTAAACAGTGGTACAGGGGACGTCAACTGGGAAGCGGGCCAGGTTCTAGCGCGTGCCGAGAGCTGTCATGAAGTAGCCAGCCAGCCAACTCGAGTAAGCCAAGCCATTAACAAATTTACTTAAAATCATGCCAAATACGCCCTACTTAGCCAAAAGCTCACTTGAATCAAAATCTATAGCTCCTATTTTGAATACAGACGATCTTTCTAGTTTAATCATAGGAGGAGTACCTATAAGTGAAATTAGTGTAGGAAAGTTAAATGAAGTCGAACATAGTAGTTTGATACAATTACTATTGCGATTTAAGCACACTTTTGCGGCAAATACTAGAGATCTCGGTTGCACAAAACTGTTAGAAATGAAAATCAAACTTACGACTCCACAGCCAATATATCGTCAACCTTATAGGTTATCGCATGCTGAGCACCAAATTGTCAATTCTAAAGTTCGTGACCTACTAGATGCCTCTATCATTAAAGAGTCGAAATCGAGTTACGCTGCTCCAGTTATTTTAGTTAGGAAAAAGAACGGCGACAGTCGTTTATGTGTCGACTATCGTGCTCTCAATAATATCACAGTAAAAGATAGATATCCTCTCCCTAATATAGAAGACCAGATTTCTAAATTAACCGGTAAAAAGTATTTTACAATTTTAGATATGGCACAAAGTTACCATCAATTATTATTAGCTCCTCGAATGAGATTTTAGCATTCTTAGACGATTTATTACTTCCCTCTATTGATATAAACAGTGGCATAAAAATGTTAGAATCAGTATTGCGAAAGTTCGAATCTGAAAATTTAAAAGTAAATATGCAAAAATGTTCATTTCTTCAAGACAAAGTCACTTACTTAGGACACGAAATTACTTCAAAAGGTGTTCAACCCTCAGATTCAAAATTAGATGCCGTTTCAAAGTTCCCTGTGCCTAAAAGCGTTCACGAGGTACGCCAATTTATTGGCCTCTGTAGTTACTTCCGAAAATTTATAAACAAATTTGCAATTATAGCTCGTCCTCTGACAAAACTAACTAGAAAAAAATGTGCCTTGGGTATGGAGCGACAAACAGGACGGTAGTTTTAAGGAGTTAAAAAAACGTTTGTGCTCTAAACCTGTGGTAGCATTATATGATCCGACACTACATACAGAAATACATACCGATGCGTGCAAGTTAGGGGTCGCAGGTATTTTGTTACAGCTGCAATCAGATAATACGTTGCACCCAGTTATGTATTTTAGTCGAGTAACCTCTAAAGAAGAAAGTATTTATCATAGCTATGAGCTTGAAACATTAGCGGTAGTAGAATCATTGGGAAAATTTCGCGTGTACGTCATAGACAAACATGTGAAAGTAGTAACGGACTGTACGGCTGTTCGTGCCACTCTTACAAAACGGGATATCATTCCGCGAATTGCTAGGTGGTGGTTATCGATACGAGAGTACGACATTAGCGTTGAATATAGACCCGGCGAACGCATGAAACATGTTGATGCTTTAAGTAGGAATCCTATTGACACAGTCAATATAAATCGTCTCGAAATTGCTGACTGGTTTTATACGATTCAATATCAGGATGAGAAACTAAGAAATATCATGGAGCAGTTGAAAAACGGATCGGCTCAGCCCGAGATACTCAACAATTATGAGTTGTTAGATAATAGATTATACCGTAAGACACTAAATGGCAATCGGTTAGTAGTTCCCGGACTTGCGAAGTGGAAAATTGTCCAAATACACCATGATGATATTGGTCATGTGGGTTTAAAGCGCTGTACTGATCTAATAAAACGTGAGTTTTGGTTTCCTAAAATGTCGCGGTTCATCAAAAAGTATGTCACTTCTTGTTTACATTGTGCTTATGGGAAGGGGATATATGGCAGGAAGGAAGGATTACTTCATCCTATACCTAAGCCAACGGAACCATTTAGAATGATACATGTTGATCATTTAGGCCCATTTTGTAAGACTAAGAAAGGTTATGCGTATATGTTAGTAGTAACCGACGCGTTTTCTAAATTCGTTATAGCAGAACCTACTAGAACTATTAATTCAATAGAAACAATTAGAATGCTCAAAAGAATATTCTCATTATTTGGATATCCTGATAGGATAGTAACGGATCACGGCAAGGCGTTTACAAGCCGGTATTTCAAAAAGTATGCTTCCGAAAAGCAATTCAAACATACACTTAATGCAATAGCGTGCCCGCGTGCTAACGGTCAAGTCGAACGAACAAATAGGACTATACTCGATGCATTGCGCGCTACCGACCCTAGTGAAGCTGCTAATAACTGGTCTAATTGTTTGCCTGATATCATTAGGGGTATAAACAATACCATAAATGATACCACGGGTATTAAGCCTTACGACTTAGTGTTCGCGCGTAGTGCTAGGCCTGTGTGTGATGTAACAATACCAGGTCGTATACCTGAATCTATTCAGTCAAGGCGTGAGAAAGCTAATAAACGTATTAAAAAGGCCAGTATTAAGATAAACGACGTAAAGCCTGTCATATTTACAAAAGAGGAGACCTAGTTTTATGGAAGAAAGCTCCTACAAGTAGTGCTGCTAAGGTTAATACTAAACTAGATGACTTATATTCCGGACCTTATATTATCATTAAGTGTATTGGTAATGACAGATACAGGATTAGAAGCATTAAGGGTCTAAGAGGTTATAAAAACTTTACGGGTCTAGTCTCTGGCGATAGTCTGCGACCCTATCATAGCGTAGCTCCTGTATCTGACAGTGCCAGCAGTTCCGATGAGCAATTGGAGACGGAAGACTTAATTGATCTTCTGGAAAGCTAATAACCATTGCGGGAGCAATTATTGTAGGATGGCCGACTGTAACGCCATGCCATAAGTGCCATGCCATGCCAAGCCCAGCCAAGCCCAGCCAAGCCACCGCCTGAGCCAGGCGGAAGTATTGCCATGACAGTATGCCGCCGAAACTGTCTTAGCCAATCACAGAGCTTAGCCAATCATAGCGTTTGACCAATTAGCGAGAGCGTCAGTGGCGTCACATCGTTTATTTTTGGAATTGCAGGGGGATTGAGAGAAGATACCCTGGAAGGAAAGGACCTCTCTCGTTACGGAGTGCTAGAGGAATCTCTGACAGTGTACCTACGGGATTGTGTGAAAAGTAATAAACGCCAGATTAAACTAAAGTGTGTGTATAATTATTGTCCTCCCGTTTCAAATATTTAATAACGTCATATACAGCCTTAACCAAATGTCACCCCTTAAAAATGCATATTTAATGTTTACTTATCTGATAATAAATAAATTCGTTTCTTGGATAATATTTCGGCTTCATAAATCATTACCTGGAAAGGTGAGCGGCATATTCATAAGGTCATAAAACACCTGGTAACCGAAAACAAAGGATTTGTGTTTTCTTGCGGTCTTATCAGTCAATATTTGGTCAGTAGCATTTTACGATCTAAAGAGTTAACAACCCTTCGTTTCTGTTTAAGTAATTACATTAACATCTAATTTATTTAAAAATGCCGAAAATGAGTGAAATTAGTTTTGAAAATAGAGTAAAAATGTAACTTTTATTTGAAGAATGGAAGTCGCAAAAAGAAATAGCCAAGTTGGTGAAATGTTCGCGTTGCGCTGTACAATCTGACATCAAACGGTTTGCTCAGATTGGTACTTAATTATAATAAATTAATAAACCAAAAACAAGCAGGAAACGTGTCAATACGAAGCGCGAGGATAGAAAATTTTTACGCGAATCGATGAAAAATCCTAAGAAAACTTCTTCAATGCTGGCTGCTGGCTTGTCCGAAGAGGTTGGAAAGCCAATAAGCCCTCGTACAGTCGAAGACTTGGCGAAGCCGGCCTAAAGGGATGCAAAGCTAGGAAGAAGCCCTGGCTTTCAGAGACAAACAAAAAAAAAAGTCTTGAGTGGGCTCTACGGTACCAACATTATACCGAGGAAGATTGGTCTAATGTGTTTTGGTGTGAAGAGTGAAACTTTGAGGTAAGTTAAAATTACTCTTTTAATTATTAAAAATAGTGAGGACTGACTTATTTCTCTTAAATCTTGAAGGTTATGATCATTTAAAAAAACCTTATTTTTTCTTTCTTTAATAGGTATTTGGAACACCAGGTGTGACCTTCGTGAGGCGACGTGTAGGTGAGGAATACCATTCAGATTGCGTCGTACCAACAGTGAAGAACGGCGGAGGAAATATAATGATCATGGGGTGCATGCAGGGCCGGGTTATGCCTGTCGGGGCCCCTAGGCAATGCTCATCCAGGGCCCCCTACCCTCTTCTAATTTTTTCGTTAACACAACAAAATTCAAAATTACACCGTTTTTTACTAACCTGGGTATATCATCATATTATCCAATAAAAATGTTGAATCAAATGAACAGAATGTTTATTTATGCATTTAAAACAAAACATACATAGCTTAAATATTAACTCTTCTAACTTTTTTTGATACAAAATCGTTCAAGATATCCTGAAAGGTAATCTTCTCCAACACGTCATTTTCAATTGCCATTATAGCCAATGAATTTAACCTTATGAAAGTAGCTTGGCCATAGAATATACATACTTGGTAGGTACCAGTATAGTAAGTGTGCATTCACAAAAAAGAGTTTTGAGCGTTTTTAATTAAATTACCGCGATAAAATTGCTTGCAATTATATTACTGCGTTATAAACTTTTAAACTATAATAATAATCATAATAATAGTATCTAATAAGGAATGCGTTCCGAAATGTACTAAAATAGCGTCGATGTAATGTACAGAGCAAATTTTCAAATTAATTTTTTACTGTTTAAGAAACATTGCCCATTCTTTTCCCTATAGCACAGGGGCCCCTGAACGTGGCAGGGCCCCTAGGCAGTTGCCTATAATGCCTAATGGATAAAACGGCCCTGGGTGCATGGCTGCCGACGGGGTTGGCGAAATGTTTGTTTGCGAAGGTCGCATGAACAGTGACAAGTACATAGAAGTACTTGAGACTGCGCTTGTGCCTTCGCTAACGAATATTTTCGGCGACAACAACCTAGAGGGAGTCATATTCCAACAAGACCATTCACCTTGTCATAAATCTTTTCTGGCAAGAACATTGTTTTGTTGGATTGGCCTGCACAGTCCCCAGATCTTAACCCAATCGAGCATCTTTGGGGTCTTTTGAAGCGGAGACTCAAAGAGCACAGCATTACATCGAAAACGGCATTAAAAATGCGTTGGTGAAAGAATGGCTTCCATTACAAGGCATGACTGCACTAAACTTGTTCGGAACATGCCTCATAGAATTGCAGCAGTGATTAAGTCTAAAGGTTGACCAACTAGATTTTAAATTTTATTTTGTTTATTTTTATATGTTATTAATATTAATTTGTACATTTTCCTTTCTTTGTTTTTCTCTTATTATTTTTGTCTATATTTGTCTAATACTTTTGGTCAAGGCTGTATGTATGTATTATGTATATATATGTATTTATATGTATGTATGAATGTAAGTATTTATGTATTTATTGATATATGTACGTATGCATATTATTGAATATTTATTACTGTTATTTATTTTTGTATGTGTTGAGGTTGTATTTATTTTAAGAGTATTTAAAATTGCACCACCCTATACTGTCTTCCAAACACAATCCTGTAACCCAAGGTAGTCTGGAAGAAATGGCTAATAAGCCATAAGGCCGCCTTTTGTTTCACCATAAGTTTATTAATTTGTGTATTTTGTAATTGTTTGTGATTGTAATTGTGGTGTACAAAAAAGTGTTAAATAAATAATATAATTTTTTTTTTCTTATAATATTCATAATATTTCATTCTGGCCTTTTACAAGTTTTGTTTATTTTATTTTTTATGTAGAATAGATCTAGCATTTATGTTATGTATCTATTTAAAATAGAATAAAATTTAATTCTGATAGTTTTTTGTCTAACTCTACTTTTACTTTTACTCACAGAAATGCAGAGCTCAGCTTAAATCAATCAGACTATACTTATAATTAGAATGCAAATTTTTCATGTATTCTTGATTATGACTAGGTATTTGATAAAAAAAATTAATCATTACAAATGTTTTAACTCATACTGTACATTTATATAGATATAAATAGTCCGAGCTAAAAAAGGTCTAATATGTCGGAGTATAAAAAAAAGACAAATAAAATTAATCATGTATTATGATATAACTAAGTTATTTAACTAAGTGGATCGTGGCTTGAGGTCCTCGTAGCATGGCCGCAGGAAGATATAATTCTTCTTTGCTTGGTTGTAGTGTTCATGACCCTGAAAATATATTGTACATATTATTTGATGTAGATCATGGTTTGTTAGTAGTCATTTTCTTGAATATTATTAAAAGGACATAAATTTACAAACAATACTTCATGTAGAGTTGTGAAAGACTTTAGTCTTTATGTATTTAATAAATAACACATTATATACAGGTGATTGGTGTAATATACTAACATATTTAAAAGAAAAAAACAAATTTGTTATATTCCAACATGGTTGAAAGTAACTCGTATATAATGTTATGTATTGAATTTAAATATATTTATACTCATTAAAGAATAATAATAATATTTAACTTCGTCATACTCTCTATGTTGGGATTAAAATGTAAGTTTAAATAAATTTGTCATCTGGTGTCACAAAATGTTAAATAAATACAAATGAGTATTTTAGAATTTAGTAACAAGACTTGACAACAATAAACCGTAACCTAACCTGAATTATACACAAAAATTACAAAATAGCTTTTAATAAAATTAAAAATAAATAGCGTCACAGTCATGCATACTTCATATTTTGATGTCTATACATCTACAATTCCAAACCTAAACACAAGTGTAGTCATTTCAATGTAAAGAAAGTTAAAAAAAATAGACCAATTGAAGTTGGTAAATACTGACCTTAGACCAATCATATCCCACTGCATATGCAAAAATTTGTCCATTATGGTTGAAAGCACACTTTGTTAGCGGCTGGTCTATCAATTCAGATGACTTGAGCTTGGTGCGGGCGTCCTTATCCCAGAACGAGAATGAACCGTCTGACCCCACCGTGGCCAGAGTGCCATGGGCTGGATGGAATGCCACGTCATTGACCGCATAGATGTCTTGATAACCGGCTGTAGTGCCAGCAGAGCGGTGGCATTTGAATGTGAAGTTATCTTTAGGGTTGGCGGGGGTTACATATTGGATGGCCACGCGGCCTTCCACGCTGCCAAGCGCGAAACCAGTCGGCTGTTTGGTCTTCTTGTCTTTGAAGATGGCGATGCATCGATGCTGGTATTTCAGAGGTGATTCCACTCGTTTGAACTCTGCCGGTTTTCCTTCCAGAGTATATACACATATACCCCTGTCGGCTGTACCCACAACTGCCATAGGATAGTCCTGGTGAATCAGAAAAAGAGAATCATATAATATGATCTTAAGTTAATTGAAATAAAACTAATATTTTTCGGATTTACTAAACGAGATGTGATGTTATTGTCTCCCCTGAGTAGTTGCTGCAAAGCAACCGAAACTTGGGGTTTATGTTGTTAAAAATAATTATGAACGCGTAGTTAATCCGAAAAATATTAATTTTATTTCAAAGAGAATCATAACTTATAATGAAACAAGGATCAGATTGAAAATATAACATATAAGTTAATCCAAAATTCCTCTATTAATCATTAATAACTTGCACTAGTATATACAAATACTTCTTCTTCTACCTGGCAATTTCTCAGCTTTAGCCAGAGTGTGCCTTACATTTAAATTTGTTGTGAATAGTTTTAGCTAATTGTTTTTATAAACTTTTTATAATCAACCCTCCTTGGGAATGCATTAATCAGTGATGTCTAAATGCTCTTAGAAAGTACATATGACTCGGAAAATATTACATTGGTACTTGCCAAGCCCAGGATCGAACCCATGCCCTCATGCATGAGAGGTGGGACTTTTAACCACTAGGCCACCACTGACTCACTGACCACTATATACAAATACTATTACTATAATATATTTAGATTTATATTAAATAACACAATTTTCAGAGACCACACATGTTTTTTTTATTATTTTAGCTATCACTAGCCAGACACTTTTATGTCATACCCTAGTTCAGGGTTGCTGAAAAGTAATAGGAGTGCCAGCTAAGATAAATAACATTAATTGTATCTGAAAAATATAGTTTACATATGGATAAATCTTATACATAATTATATATTTATCAGACGTTTTTGCCTTGATACTAACCACATCAGCACAATAGCAGCGTTCGGTGAGGTTCATAGTCATTATTGGCACCGAACTTCTTGTGTCCCAGAACTGTAACAGTATTAAAATATTTTATCCAAAGAAATGTTGGTTAACTTGAATTAGTTGTTTCCTATAATCATGAACATGTTAAAGTAATCATAAACTGGATATAATCAAAATGTTAGTAAATCTATATAATATATAGGAAAATAGTAATAATATATTGTATATTTATTTACATTTAAAATTTCTAGCAGAAGTTTATTTCTGTTAATCTAGATTCTAGAAGAATATAACCTTTATTCTTCTCAATTACTTCAACTTCTTTTATACATTTTAGTATTTTGTTTGACAAATATACCTTGAGAGTTTTGTCCCATGAGGCCGTCATGAGGCAGGTGTAGTTGGGAGCCTTGATCCAATGACAGGTTTTCACCGGCGCGTCATGTGCTGCCACCTGGAGGATTTATTAATACAACTTAAATAATAAGACAAGGTTTTTGACACAATCATTAACAAAATGTTTGGTTTTACAAATTAAAAACAAAACAAATACAACAATTAATGGGTGGAGATTTATAATGAATTTTTGTGAGTATAACTATAGTAATAAAATAAAAGTAGAACATACTTGCATGGTCTGGTTGCTGGCTAGATCCCAGCATTTCACACTCTTATCAGTTGATGCCATGAAAACTTTGCTTCCATCCTGAAAATATATATTTCATACGTAACCAATGCTACTAATAATATAAAAATATGTTTTTTATTTTTTGTATTTAAGCAAAATGATAGCAAAATAAAGAGAATTTTATTAAGGACTATGTTTATATAATCTCTATATACAATTTTCTGTCTCTAATACATGTTTATTACTCTAGTGATGAGTCGTTATCAACATAGCTTATAAACACATGTTAGAACAGGAGTATAACTTAAAATTTGCCAAATATATATATGTACATAACTTACATCATGCCACGCCACATCCAGTATCGGCCCATCCATCCCCTGGACCGCCTTTAGAACAGTTTTTCCGGAAGCTTCTACCTCCCAACATCTTACCTATACATAACATTATAATTTATAAACATAAAATAATTGTTACCCAAGAATAAAGAGAACAAAGTACATATTTGGTTTTGTTGGATTATTTATGTAAAGGAATCCTATCAAAACAACGAAACTTGTCTAACTTTTAAACAATAATAGCTTGTGTTTGTATAGATTAAAAGAAATAATAAAATCCTATTGCCAAAAGATATGTATACATAAGATAAGATATTATATACAGAGAAAGTTTATTAAATATCAGTGAATATTCAATACTTAGCAAAGTTTCGGTAGTTTATATAGTATATCGTATAGACTTACTCGACAATCCCAACTGCCGGCTACCAAGAATGTCTGCGGAACTGAAGGTGGAGAGAACTCTAGAGCGGAAACTGTATCCTCCGGCGGAGACGCTACCTCCACATCCTTGTTAGGATTACTGTTACCACCTCCAAGTTGATTAAACATCTTTGGCTTTAAGTCTATTCACACGAAATTGTTTTATAACCATAAACTAGAATATAATATCAATCTAAACGATATGGGGTAATATAGAACTTAGGTGTGATAGTATTGATTTATAGTTTCAGATTCATTTATAACATTTCTATTTATTAAACTTTACGGTTAGAATTCGCATGTTTATAAACCGCACAAATACGACATGTCAAAAATTTAATTCGTTTAGTCGGTAAAGGCAAGCTAATATTTTTAAGCACAGATTACATTAAACAATAAGCATGTAACAAATATTTTAATGAAAATAGTCTCATTTTTACGATTGAAGAGAATAATAAAGAATTTATTAAATATTTAAGAATGAAGTAAAACTAATAATTTTAAAACGTAAATAAAACGTGACTATTGGATTTTTAAATACCAATAAACGACAACAGCTGAGTGTCAAACTTTAATGTCACATTTAATGACTAAATATGTATATATTGATGCGATTTTAAGTTTTTCGAAACCCTTACAATTAGGTTAATTATAAGTAAATAACTTTTATATAATTTTTGTCAGTTGCAAATAGTAGATTAGTTTTATAATAGAAAATCTATGTAAATAGGTTAATATTAAAATAAAGCTCTTTGACAACAGTTCACTAACATAATAAACAATGAGCAGTACTGAGTACGTCCAAATAAAAGATTTGAAGCCGGGTATGAAAAATATCAACGCGATCTTCATAGTGTTGGAGGTGGGACTGCCGACGCTGACGAAGGAGGCGCGCGAGGTGCGCACGTTGCGCGTGGCGGACGCTTCGGCCTCCGTCAACTTATCCGTTTGGGACGAACCCGGCGCCCTGTTGCAGCCAGGAGACATCGTGCGCCTCACGCGCGGCTACGCTTCGCTCTGGCGCTCCGCTCTCACCTTGTATTCGGGTAAATCCGGCGACATACAAAAAGTTGGCGAATTCTGTATGCTGTTCAACGAGCAAGTGAACATGAGCGAACCTCAGCCGACGCCACCGCCCGCTGTGAACGCGCCACCCCCTGATCGTACTAATGGCGCGCATGCCCCCGCTCGCAACATGGCACAGTCCCAACCATCAACACCCGGCACTCAGCAGATGCAGCCGAAGAATGAACGGTTTTCACAGAACAATCAGGAACACAACAGCAAACATCAGCATAAAACATATGTTAGAGGAAGAGGACATCAGCGCGGCAACAACAGGAGATAACAAACTTAAAGTAGACTAGAAAACAAATTCCCATTTAATATAAGCTTGAATCATTGTTTTGCAGTGATCAAAACACTATGAGAACAAACAGACAAATGTGTAATATTAAAACAGATGATCACAACATGGCTTAAGATTATTTATTATTTTTGATGATATTGTAATATTTGTATAATTTAAGTTTTATATAAAAGTTTAAATGATTCCAACTTATTAAATATTGTTTAAGTATTTTAATATTGATAAATATGTGTACAAAATGTATTGCCACTACCACTGATTAAAAAAGCAAGTATTATTAAAATATTATAAACAATTAAAAACATCTCTTGTTTGTTATTCAGTAATGAAACTCAAAAAGGTTGTATATACAAATAATGTTCTGAAGTTGATTGTAACTGAACTTACTTTAGTTAAAAGTTCAATCTCTTTATTTAATACTTAAGTTTAATGAAAATGTCTTAACAAAAATTATTCTGCTCTTCTATAGTTTATGAATTGATTTATTAAGCAGAGCATTTTCCAATATTATGTTGCATACACATATATACATACAACTAAAAGCTTTTGTACTAGAAACCCCATACAAAGAATTTTCATGAGATTACTCAGTGACCTATAGTTATGTTGGTTATGAATTCCTAACTTTATATGCAAATATTTGAAGTACATTCAAACTTTCAGTGTTTAGGTAATAGATTCAAACTCAGATCTTTATGTATAAAAATATCTTTATCTATAAGTAATAACTGAAGATAGATACATAATATCATTATCTGAATGTTTTAGACCTTTTTTACGTTAAACTCTTGTATTCTTTAAAAAACATTCATTTTTCACATGTCGGTGTACGATGGTCCCGAAAACGCCTTTAAAAAACATTCCTCGGCAAAGGAACTCTTTGAAGGGAGACTGGCATGGGGCATGTGAACACTTGTATAACTGAAACAAATAAGGAAGTTGGGGTGGATTTTGATATGTCTAAACGCTTTACTTTCTCATTTAAAAGATTCAACAATAATTTTTAAGATGATAATGATATATTTTTAACGTGTTTGACTATCTATAATCCTTCCCTCTATTTTTAATATTCAATCTCAATAACCGGAGTGGCTTTGTGTAATGTGAGGCGTCATTCAAGCATGCTTCTCCAAATGTCGACCGCTCGTACAAATTTAGTGCAACCCCCTGTAAATAGTGTGACGATAAAAATTTAGATTATACAGTTTTCTGAGACAATAAAGAACATAGGTCTGGAATTTTTTTTGGAGGCAACAAGGTCAAGGGCTATGAGATTTTATTTGTCTTAATTCATGAGGATATATCCTCCTTATTAAAAATATTGCACTTAATTGGATAAATAAGTTCAGGTTACTGTTGCCGATTATTGAAGTAAAACAAAGTAGGGCACGGTTAGTACTTGGATGGGTGACCGCCTGGGAACACCGTGTGATGTTGGCTTTTTTGTTCAGCTCATTCACTCAGTTTCAGAGCAAATTCGATAAGTTGTGAGGGACTGTCGCCAACGTCCATACCACGTTGAACACACCGGTTCTCGTCCGATCACCGAAGTCAAGCAACGTAGGGCACGGTTAGTACTTGGATGGGTGACCGCCTGGGAACACCGTGTGATGTTGGCTTTTTTGTTCAGCTCATTCACTCAGTTTCAGAGCAAATTCGATAAGTTGAGAGGGACTGTCGCCAACGTCCATACCACGTTGAACACACCGGTTCTCGTCCGATCACCGAAGTCAAGCAACGTAGGGCACGGTTAGTACTTGGATGGGTGACCGCCTGGGAACACCGTGTGATGTTGGCTTTTTTACTTTGTCCCACTCACTATTGATCCAGTTTGTTTTAGGCTTAAAATATTTTAATTACGTCAATTTGGTGGATTTTATCTTCTTCAATCATAGGAATGTGGTTGTGGTTTCTTTTTCATTAATATTTGGTATTAAATTTATGATAATTATTCTTTAATTGAAAAATTCATGAAGTAGAAAAAAAAAATTCTTTCGAATTTCGATTGGATAGCGTTTGACAGACATTCCATCGGTTGGAAGGTGGAAATGTAGTCGTAGAGGCTGAATGCACTATGTAAGACCTCCCAATTTCCTTCACTGTCTGTTAGTGGTATCTAAATACTCTTAAAAAGTACATATTATAACTCGGAAATATCACATTGGTACTTGCCAGGATCGAACCCACGCCCTCGTGCACGAAGAGAGATGAAAAGTTTGTAAATATACAGTGAATTCCATAAGTTCAAAAGAAAATTATATCACTTGACACTATATCCTTATAGTGCAAATTCAGATGCCAGATGGAACATGGATAATGAGTAAAACGTGTACTTTTAGTGATTTCCAAACGAATCAGAAGCTATCTGACGCTTATTTATACACTACTCAACTTTAGTTATAGTGTTCCAATAGAAAATTTATCAGCCAATGGTTAGAAATTTATAAGAAGTTATAAAAAAACTTCTTTTATTAGTATTTTATATATCAGGGCTTTAAATTAACAATCACTAGTTAAATTTTGATATGTAAATACATGATCTATCCATTCTTTAAGTACTTTGGAAGGATAAACTGTATGCTTGATTGAATGACTGTAAAGCATTGCACTTTCTGACAAGCATTGTTTTAAACTTCGGAGGGAAGAAGAAAAAAGGAAAATAAAGAGCGTATAGGATAGACCGTTTATCCTGACAATACTCGTACATCAGACATTAACGTAGTTTATTGTACCATTCTCCGATATCTCACAAATTATATTTTGAAAATAATAAATTACTTGATTATCACTTGTCTCTCACAACTTATCGAGTTTGCTCTGAAAGAGTGTTATTGAGCCGAGCAAAAAAGCCAACATCACACGGTGTTCCCAGGCGGTCACCCATCCAAGTACTAACCGTGCCCTACGTTGCTTGACTTCGGTGATCGGACGAGAACCGGTGTGTTCAACGTGGTATGGACGTTGGCGACAGTCCCTCACAACTTATCGAATTTGCTCTGAAAGAGTGTTATTGAGCCGAGCAAAAAAGCCAACATCACACGGTGTTCCCAGGTGGTCACCCATCCAAGTACTAACCGTGCCCTACGTTGCTTGACTTCGGTGATCGGACGAGAACCGGTGTGTTCAACGTGGTATGGACGTTGGCGACAGTTCCTCTCAACTTATCGAATTTGTCTCGAAACTGAGTGAATGAGCTGAACAAAAAAGCTAACATCACACGGTGTTCCCAGGCGGTCACCCATCCAAGTACTAACCGTGCCCTACGTTGCTTGTTATTGTATTGTAATTCTTTGTGAGTGAATAAGAACCATTTAATATTAAAAGTACGCTTAAAGTCCAATATATTTTCTAACTAATAAACTACCATACAATAAACTATAAATTGTCAATTATATCCAAACATACATGTAAAGTTTTAGATACATATTTTATGTAGCATTCTTCACAATATTTTGCTTGCACGATCTTTGATAAAAAATAAAAATATATTTCAAATCACTGAAAACTGATCAAATTTTTTATACCTTTCGACATCAATTCTTATTTTAAATTAACATTCCATTAAATCAATATTTTAACAATTTAACGCCATTGTAATTCTCAATGAAAATAGCTATAATCTTTTATTATTAGGTGTACTTATTCGTCAGTAAATTTGTGTTCAAATAAAATCAGCATAACAAAACACATAATTGTTCGCAAGCGTATTGGTTACTGTATAAAATATCTCACACAAAGAATATTCAGGTGTCGTTTGAAAAGGATTACTGTCGTTCATAAATAATCACAATGAGGGTAGTTCTAACCACCTACCGCCTGCCGCCTCTCACCTATTGTCCACACACTGTAAAGGGCCAGTCGAATGGAATTTATGTCTAATACTCTTGTGTACTAACACCACAAGATATTTTTCAAGGATTACACGATATTTTTAAGATTTCGGGTTCCATTCCTAACAGAATCCTATATATGTTCTTTTTATATTCTAACCTTTTATCTTTTTTAAGATTTTTCAAAGAATAAATTATTTTTTTAAAGTTGTAATTACACATAGGGTATTCTGTTTTTGTGAGCTGTTATTTGCGATTTCCTAAATATATTCCTTATCACATTTGTCACTAAATTAATGGTGTTTTCAAATAAAATATTTAAATTGTAACTGTATTTCATGATGTATGGACAACAGCAAAAAGATTTCAAGTAAAATTTTAAATTTAAGTAGTTTTCTTTATATACTAAAAATCAAAATTAAATAAAGTCCAACATAAGCTTACGGAATATAAATAATATACATATTGTAATATAATAAAATTACGATATAAAAGATATTATGTTTAAAGTTTTATTTAAAACAATAATATCGTCGGAAAACTCAAAGTTTATAAACTTATAAGTATTGCATAAAAATAAATTATCTAATAAAAAATAATTAAGAAATTATATTTGAGTAAAACGGCTCGCACTTGACCGTTCCTTGAATAGATTCTCAAAGCAGTAGATATGCGCAACACAATAAGATAAAGTAGCTATAAAAGGACCCCGCGGTTTTCATATTTTTCAATATCGCTCGCATCTTCAAACTATCAGTTTGTTCATATTAAATATATAGTTACAATGAGCAGACCCAGGTGCAGGTGAGTAGTTAGAATTACATTCGGTACAATTAAGATAATTTTAATAAACATATTTTCATTATTTACTTGTTTTACGTTAAAACTTAACTTTGAATGAAAGAATTAAAAAAATAAATGTATGTAACTAGTTTTCTAAAGGAGATTTTTACCTAAAAAAAGTTCTTACTATGAAAATAATTATTTAAATATATTCGTCTCTAGGAAATAACCCTGTCTTAAATATATTTGTTAGATGTAATATTTTCATAAACACTATTTCCATTTACAACAAAATTAAAATAAGTAAGTTACCAACATTGCATTACAATTATCAATACGAAACCGTTAGAAACTTTTGTGAAAAAAATCCTTAAGTTTAATTGCTCAAAATTCAATAACAGTAGAGGAACAGTTTTGGAGACGCTTTATTTTGGTCACTTACAGCTTATTACATAAGTCGTATCCATTACTTTCATGTAATGAGATCTAACTTTCGCGAGTATTTATTTAAATGAAACTAATATTTTGGGGATATACTACGCGTATTTTATTATTATTTTTTAAACTACATACTCCCGACGTTTCGGTTTGGTACTTTGCAGCAACCGTGTTCACGGGCAGACGGGATGTAGTATTTCGTAAAATATTAGTTTCAGTCTTCCATGTATTCTGTTCCTAGCATTTAGAAGACTTCTAAAGTTTCATTACATATAATAAGTTTGTTATTTCAGTGTTTTAGTATTGTTGACGCTGTGTGCTATAGCGGCGTGGTCATCAGCACAGGTCACATTCAGTCGCGACTGGTCCGGGGGCAAGCGCTCCCCTCCAGCCGTCTTCGACTGTGGACAATTGACAACACTTTGTCGCCATTTTTTGGTTTGTAGTAAATCTTTTAAACTTAACATTCCCTACGATAGGAGAATATGCTGTTTCAATTCATCGACAGCATTTAGTTTTAATTATGAAGAAGTTGGTATTTCTACGTAATATTTGTAAATAAATATAGGAGCTAAATTTATCTGCAACCTACTAAAAAACTTCGGCCTGTCCAGAACTAACATTAATTCGTTCTTGGAACGTCCCTCGAAGACAGTCCTAGTACATAGGTTCGTTCAAATTTGGTTAGACAAAGTGAGGAGCTTGGACGGTGGAGGTGAGCGTTTAAAGCGCGTTAGAAAGGGACCCCTTAAACCTACACCTGGGTCACAAGTCCCAGTCACTGTTGAAGCTCCTCTCACTACAACGATGGACCCGACAAACGCACCGTGAATACATGGAATGATGAGAGTTTTCATCTATTCTCTCATAAGCTATACCCTTATATTTTGTTTATTATTCATAATTGATTTGAAAATATATTCTTTTATTGGAGAAATTAATAATAAGAAAGGCGATTTTTACTCAACGCAACAAAATATTCTACATCCAGTCTACATAGAAGATTTTTTTATTTAGATGTTTTTGTTATCAGTAATAATATTGAAGTTGCTAACAAAAAACGTATATTTTAATACCTCATACTTGTTTCAGCACGATTTAAAGCAAACGATGTCTGGCAAAAAGTTGGACAAACACCAGCAGCTGCAGTCAGAGGAGCTACAGCTTGTTTATGAAGACGAGAAATAGTTCATTCAAGATACAGCTTAAGTAATATCCAGCTTATATGAATGTTTTGTTAATTCCTTATATCATAGCGTTAGATATCTTGTTAAAAATATATTTACGAGCAACCGCACTTGGAAATGCTAATTAGATTTAGATCTTTGTCATTTAAGTTTTGGTTTCAATTATTGTATAATATATGTTTTTTCGTATGTCATGTACTTATGGCTTCTTCATTTTAAATAAAACTTATTCAATAGCAATCCAATTTTCATTTTCACCGGATTTCATTACGACAAAGATTACGTTAGATATTTTTCTATTTTTGTTGGTTGGTTAAAATATGGTTTTCAATTAAATGTATATTTGACACTGATAGGCCAGTGCAGATGCCTTTAAAAATAATGAAAAGTTTAAATAAATTATAGTAGAATGAAACTCATTAGAAAATAAGGGGAATGTTATAAAAATTAAAGGAAAAATAATTTACGGGCGATCTGAGGTCGGGAAGGGTAAGGGTAATTAAGGTATGTAAGGTAAAAAATGGGTTTTCTCGATTGTCGACAAAACTAAAAGTCCTACAGAAAAAAAAATATGGCAAACTTGTAGGTAATAAAAAGATCTAAAACTTTTGTACTATCATTTTTTTCAACTAACCTTTTTCACCTTAAACTTTATGTGAAAAATTCGCAAAACCAAGTTTTTGGTTTTTTATTTTTATCTCTTCCAAAAAACAATTTTTTGTTACGAAATTTGGTGAAAACTTTCCTTTTGATGTTCCGAATGCACTGTAATTTATTTGATTAGAAATATTTATTTTTTCAGCTTATTTTGAACAAATACCGAAAAATCAGCCTTATTTTCAATCGAAAAATCACCCGTCCAAATATCAGCTTTTTTAAAAAATTTGGTATGTTTTCTATTTGTTGAAAAAAATATAAGTTACTTACAGCACCATTTTTGGATAAAATAATCATGTCTCTTTTAATGAAAAGACACTCGACATCGTTTTGAAAATGCTCTTTCAATAGTTGTGTACTCTGAAAGTTCTCCAAATAGTCCCTCACTTGGGTAATTTACAGAAAATTGACATTAAGCTGCTAAAACAGAGACTTGAGGTAGGGTAAAAAGAAAGTTTGAAAAAAAAATACAAATTTTCAGTATAATTTCTTTCTCTAAAAGATTGATATAATAATGAGAACGACTTTCATGGGTATTCATTTAAATGAAAATATTTTTTTAGAATTAATACGACCTGTTTATTTCTTCATCACCGCTTTATGAAAGTTAGTTAAGCCAGAGTATCCTGTGGAGATTAAAGCATTCTTATTATTCGTCATCAGCCTATCAGCGCCCACTGCTGGGCAAGGCCTCTTTCTCACATGGATAAGGTTTGAGCATTAATCACCCACGCTTGCTCAAGACGGGTTGGTGATTTCAAACTTATAATTGTGAAACTATAAGTCCAGGTTTCCTCACGATGTTTTCCTTCACCGTATGTCAGTGATGTCTAAATACTCTCAGAAAGTACATATGACTCCGAAAAATCACATTGGTACTTGTCAGGTTCTTATTATTATTTGACAACAAATAAAAGAGGAAAACAAAATAACGTATTTGTGTGTCCACAACCTGCTAGCTAATCAAAACTATCATAATACTATTTATTGAAACGAGTAAAATTACTTTATTTTATGTTAAATATGAACTGGTTAAAAACCTTTCCTATGCAATTTTCTTCTCAATTCTTATTTTAATTTTATTATCAAACAACAACAAACTACGACCAATTCAAAAATCAAATGACAATTGAAAATGTACTCGTAATTAATTTCGTTAAACACACGTCACCAGTATAAAGTCAGTGGTGGCCTAGTGGTTAAAAGTCCCGCCTCTCATGCACGAGGGCGCGGGTTCGATCCTGGCAAGTACCGATGTGATTTTTCCGAGTCATATGTACTTTCTAAGAGTATTTTTACATCACTGATTAATGCATTCCCAAAGAGGGTTAATGTCAGGCAGGCGGCCGGTCGTAAAAACAATAAGCTTAAACTGTTCGCAACATGTAAGGCAGACCCTGGCTAAAGCTGGGAAATTGCCAGATAGAAGAAGGCACGTCCCCAGTACAGAGCTCACATCTATAATTTAAAATTTTCAATAATTCGTTAGTAAATTTCCTCATTAGCTGATTAAAATTTATTCACTTGCGCTTAGAATGACAAGAATAATAACAAAATATTAGAACACAAATTAAATATGTAGCTCCTTTTCATTTGACAGTTTCTATGATGTTTTAAACGAGATGAAGGCAATGCTTTTCGAGCAAAACACATGCACAGTTTCTGTACGCATACAAATAACCATTGTATTGCATCCAACATTCGATTTGCAGATCGTCTTTGAGATTATTCTTATAGAATACTAGCTTTCCGCCCGCGTGGAGTTCGGTTATATCGCGTTTCCAAGAGAACTTTGCAAAAGTCTGGGATAAAAACTATCCTGTTTTTTGTCAAGGTCAACTCTATCTCTGTACCAAATTTCATTAAAATCAGTTCAGTGGTTTAGGCGTGAAAGCGTAACAGACAGACAGACAGATTTACTTTCGCATTAATAATATTAGTAGGGATATGCACAGAGTACTTGTGCATACGCCGCTCTAATATTGCGGATGACCATGGGCGACGGTTACTGCTACCATTCAATGCACCTTCTGCTCGTTTTCAACTTTCTCATAAAAAAAACAGTCGAAGATAAATATTTGAAAAGTAATTCGTAGTAAATCTAAATATATCATAATATAACATTAATCTTTTAAGAGACGAAACCTCTCATCATTCAATGTATTCACGGTGCGTGTGTCGGGTCCATCGTTGTAGGGAGAGGAGCTTCAACAGAGTCTGGGACTTGCGACCCTGGCTAAAGCTGGGAAATTGCCAGGAAGAAGACGAGTTCCCACTATGAGTTACTAATAATTATTATATATGTTGTCTATAATAAAAATAAAAGATCGTATGCATTAGTAATTTATTGGAATAAATTGATTTTATTTACATTTAATATTATTGCAATACAAACCTCATCATTATAAAATTGTTAATATAAATTTGTTAAAAACTAAAATTATTATAGAGTTAGAAGAAATAATGTGACATACATACATATATGATATACATAATTTTGCAAATAATTTTAATAATAATAGTATATTATAATTGTTGGGGTGCTATTTCAATTAAATATAAAAGTACATAATTGCATTAATTTTAAGAAAACTATGTAATAATGTTAATTAATAAAATATTAAATTATTTAATCTAATATAAAATCCTAGAAGGCGGGAGTTGTTCCAACACAATACCTTCATATAAAACTAATTATACGAAATACAATTCCATGTTCCACTACAAACTATATTTGAGCACACTCAACATTATCTAAATAAAATGTTTATCATATCATAATGGTACAGAATACATCAGAATAATATTAAAAAGTATAAGGAATAATTTAAATCACCAATTTATATAATATAGTCTTTTAGTCACATGTAAGCTCAGAGTTCTTACTCATATACTTCAATATCTATTTATGTGAATTCAGTGAAATTTCATGAAACTGTATGAATAAATTACTAATTCTGTCACTATTGGTGGGACGGAGCGCGTCGTGGAGGGTAGGATGTGAGTCGTATACGGAACACGTGATGACGTCACTCATGTGTGACGTCACTCGCTGTCGGAGGGCGCACAGCGCACGTACTCTAAGGCCTGGTTGAGTTTTTCCAGCCAGACGTCTCTATCAGCGGCTGTATCAGCTGCCAGTAAGTGTCTCCTGATGACGGACCCGCCGGGCCCCCTCACGTACACCAGGGAGCCTCCCTCGGGCGCGTCGAGGCCCGGGGGCGCGGAGGCCTCGAGTAATATAGTGTGGGGCCTCGCGCACAGATCACGGGGGGCCTTCACCGCCTTCTCTGATATGATCGTCGTCAGATCTATATCACCGATCGGCATCTGAGGAATGTTGGGAAAGTTATAGAGATATAATTATACATGATAACTAGGTTTTGACTACGACTTTGTCTGCATTAATTTCGGCATTAGTAATATATGTATGAGCTGATGGGCGAACTCTATTCAATAGCTCTATTCAAGAGGCCATAAATAACAAGATATCGGAGTTAAATATGTATTTTTTCTTTTTCTATCGAACAGAATTAAATATCCTCTATCTTCTGGTTCTAAATTATCTCCCCACAAATTTTCAACCATATCCTTACCGCCGTTATTAAGTTACAAATAGAATAACTAACGCAACTTTCCTTAATGTATATCGCTATTAGATATAATGTTATTAAGATGGCAGTAACCTTTTTGGTGACGTCATCCGGATACTTCCAATAAGTGAGGCGGGGCGGCTGTAGTCTCACCCATCGTCTGTGCCAGGCCCCCAGCCCCGATACATCATCGAAGGCGGTAAGGAAGGCTGCGTGGGGCTCAGGCGGGGGCACGAGGACCCTGGCGGCTATGTCAGTACTGATGGAGCCCTCTAGCGGACTGTCAGGTGGAACTTTGTTGAGTGTGAAGCTCTTTCTAGCTGCCTGTTGCAGCGCGAAGATGCAGTAGCCGTGAAGAGCGAACTGGGGACTCCTCACTGACAGCGGGCCCCCGGGACTGGCAACACGGGGGGCCTTCAGTTCCGATACTTTCGATTTGGGAGTGAGTAGTTTGGAACCGCTCTGTGAAGAAAACAATATGCAACTATACATTGGTGCTAGGTCATTCATTGGTTTTATATTTTGTTGTCTGTCAAGTTTCAGACAATAATAGCTTAGCTGGGGATATACTGATAATACCAAAATGAAGTGGTTTATATGCAAAAAAACATAACTTAATTGCAGAAAATATAAATGGTGGAAAGGATCAAATTGTAGCTATAAGTAATAATCATTTTCAAAGTACTGGTTTAGTGATGTGTAAGTTTTTATACTAACTTATACTTTGATTATACTATACTTTAAAATAGTAAATCGATTTCATACAATATAAGTTTGAATCTAAAAATACAATGTTACCTTTTTGTTAGTGATGTGATATTTGACGTTGTGAGGTAATATTTCCTTGGATGCTTGAAGCAGATATATCTCCACTGTCACCTGGAAAATATATTACAAACAAATTAATTATTACTTTTTATATCATCTTTCTAGTGGGACAAACACTTGTTTTATTTATAATTAGTATTTGCTCGCGAATTATGAGAAATGTATATCTGACTGGGTGCACTTTATTCATCCTTAAAAGGCAATAGATAAGAAGATTTTGGATTTGATCAACTTATATTATTTTTTAATCGGATGAGAAGTATTCTATGTCCTTTGACTTGTTCTAAGCTATCAATCCACCAATTATCAGACAAACCCATACAGCCGTTCTTGAGTTATAGTGTAATTAACACGCCTTTCTTGCATATATAAAGATGATAATAATGTATATACCTTAAAGTCTCCATTGAGTCCTTCCATCCTTATTTCGTCTGGGAAGTGTAGCGGCGCGTTGGGTTTAGTCAGCTGCATGCTGGTAGCTAGCACTCGGTCACGACATTTGAGGAGACAGACCACGTGGTGACCTACGGCGCCATCTGACGAATATACATCGATAAATTAGTAAATAACTATTTCAATACATTTTAAAACTTATTCATTGTATTTTAAGACCCATTTAGCTGTTCTGGAGTTTTTGGCAGAATACATTTATATATGAAATTAAACAACATTCAAAGAGGAGAGTATGCACTTGATCATTGTTTATGTATGTCTACGAAAATTTGTATTAAATTTACAGACATATTTTAAATGTTTTAGTACGATTATATGTAATATCTTTTAGTAACTGTTAATTCAAAGTGATTACAACATGTAATTTTGAAACCATATTTGGAAACATGGACTTATAGTTTCACAATTATAAGTTTGAAATCACCAACCCGTCTTGAGCAAGCGTCGTGTTTAATGCTCATACCTTCTCCATGTGAGAAGTGGCCTTTGCTCAGCAGTGGGCTCTGATAGGCTGATGATGATACCTAGAATAAGTGTCTAACAGTGAGTATGTCATACCAGCATTGAGTTGTCGTATATAATCTCTCCTGAGAGGTATCCGTAGGTTGCTGATGTTGAGAGTGGCTTTCCCAGCTGTGGCCGCTGGACCTGCGCCCTCTACCTGAAGCCTTTGAACTTCGTGGAGGCAGGCTTGGCGACGGTGAGCTGGAAATACATACAGACATACATGATAAAAATATATGTACACATATATTAGGCAGACCCTGGCTAAAGCTGGGAAGCTATCAGGAAGAAGATGTACATATATCGTAAGGGATAGTGCAAATATGCGTAGCTACCATTGTATAATTTCGCGCATCTACATTGGAAACAAATTATCAGAAGAAAGTTTAAGCTGAAATATTTTCTATATTAAAACGACTTCTAAAGAAATTTAACAATGAGTAATTATTTAGTGTTTAATTTACTTTGCACTATCCCCGACGATATGTGAAAATTTTAAGTTAAATCAAGAGATGATTTGAAATATAAAAAATGGAATATTAACTAATTAATTCTAGTTACTCTTATAGTTAAGTTTTAAGCATTTATTATGTAACATAGAAATGTTTTGTATAAGGATATATAGTATGAACTCACTCGCTAACAGCAGTAATCTTTCACCCTCCGCTTGTTCAGTAGAGCCACTAAACTCGATGGTTGCAGCGCACAGGTTGAGAGCTTGACTGGCCTGCAACATACAATATATGATATTAAAATACAAATATATAGAAAGAAGGATTCGAACCCGTGACCTTCGAGATATTACAGTTGCTAGCAACTGAGCTATAGTTTCATATATTTATAACATATAATAATCTTTGTGAATTTAAATTCAGTTGTACAGAATTAATAGGATTTAAGACTTTCGCGAGTATTCTTATACTAATAAAAATAATAATTTCGAATATACTATATGTAGTTATTTTTATTATTTTAAACGACATACTCCCAACGTGTTACTTTGCAGTAAACGTGTTTACGTACAGACGAGATGAAAGTGTCATACGAGGAGTTAGGTATATAGAATTTTATGTTTAATATATATACATAAATATTAGTATTATATGAGTACTAGTGACGTCATCTATCTATCCCTACTAATATTATAAATGGGAAAATAACTCTGTCTGTGTGTCTGTCTGTTTCGCTTTCACGCCTCAACCGCTGAACAGATTTTAATGAAATTTGGCACAGAGATAGAGTTAACATTGAGAAAGAAAATAGGATACTTTTTATCTCAGACGTTTGAAAGGTTCTCTTGGAAACGCGATATAACCGAACTCCACGCGGGCGAAGCTGCGGGCGGAAAGCTAGTTAAGTATATAGTGTGATTGCATCATGTACATATGTAACATATATTGTGTAATAAAACCATGCATAAATCAGACATACTTATATTTATAGTATAGGTACATGATGTATTTATAATGAGAATATGGATGACACAGATTTATTTGTTTTGGTGATCATTCTACTTTTGGTTTGAAGCTGTTATGCATAATGTATATCTATCTCTCTCACTCCCACACACATACACACGTACACACATACACACACATATACACAATCCTATACAGTCAAAGGTCTAGTACATATTTGGAGTAGGATAAGCAGTATATATAGATGTAAAACAAAAATACAAATTTCTATCATTCGAGTTCGGTTATATCGCGTTTCCAAGAGAACCTTTCAAAAGTCTGGGATAAAAACTATCCTATGTTCTTTCTCAAGCTCAACTCTATGTCTGTACCAAATTTCATTAAAATCATTTCAGTGGTTTAGGCGTGAAAGCGTCACAGACAGACAGACAGAGTTACTTTCGCATTTATAATATTAGTAGGGATATGGCGTGGATGCCACTGGTATATATATATATATATGTTACATACCTGTGATATAACAGTCTGTTGTTTATTAATCTCGTTGTGTAGTTCCTTGATCCTCTGCCTGACCGTAGTGACGGGAGCAACCTCGGGCGTGGAGTCTCGTTCAGGAGACACGTGGCGGATCACTCTCATAGGAGTCGTCGGCGTTGATGACTGGAACGAATTAATTGAACATTTAATAACTATTGTATGATGTCGTTTTGTAATATTGTATCATTAAATATTATTTGAAAGAATAAAGAGTGTTTGAGTTAGTCTCGACCATAAAAGTTACTTTTTAGGCAGACCCTGGCTAAAGCTGGGAAATTGCCAGGTACAAGATAGAAGTTACTTTTAACTGTGCTCATGTAAGAAACTACATATTTCAACAGTACTGACTGATCTATTCAAACTGCTAGATGGATCTATATTAAATTACTTAAGAAATAACATTCTTTTTTATATTTCTATAATTATAGAATAACGTGAACTTTTTTTAATATATAAAATTTTCTTATATTATAGTTTTTACAATAATACAGAACTATGCTCAGAGAGAAAAGTTAAGCGTGTGTTAAAACAATAGATATGTTAAACATCCGGCCACTAACTACATGAAATTTCTTAATAAGTTATAGCCTATATATTAATATTGATGCTTTACCTACAACATTGTGGCGTTTTATCAAAGAGTAATTAACATACACGTCCTAACAAATGTCCTCATTTATACTATCAATATAAATATAGTAGAAACCTCTCATCATTCAATGTATTCAACGTGCGGGTGCCAGGTCCATCGTTGTAGTGAGAGGAGCTTCAACAGTGACTGTGACTTGTGACCCAGGTGTAGGTTTAAGGGACCCTATCTAACGTGCTTTAAACGCTCACCTCCACCGTCCAAGCTCCTCTCTTTACCAAATTTGAACGAACCTACTAAGACTGTCTTCGAAGAACGAATTAATGTTAGTTCTGGACATGCCCAAGTTTAATTGACCTATATACATATATTAGTTTATCTTATATAACTCACCGCCTGCATCCTCCTGTAGAAGCTGACGCTGTGCACGAGCTCGTTGGCGCGGTCCCTGGCCGGCGTCTTCAGCGGGGACTTGAACGCCACATTGTCCTGGTACACGAAACTTGATGACGACAGACTGTCTTGCTGCAACACGTCCACATATTATAACCCACGAACATGCGGGGCATAATATGGGAACGCTTTGTATAACCTAGCTTATATTGGAATATTTACTTTTAAAGACGGTTTTTTTTTATAGAAAATGTATAGCCTGATAATGATATAATTATTTATACTGAAGTTACTAAGCAGGCTTTGACTAAAGCTGGGAAATTGCCAGGAAGAAGACTGAAGTTATATATTTTTATAAGACGAGTAATCAGTGCAATATATAATTAGTTCTAGTGATGTGTATTGTTATTTTTTCCATCACCCTGTATATACCTCTACCTCTATAACCTTATAGATCACCCTGTATATATTACCTCTATCACCTTATTGACCTTGGGTGGTGTCGGTCCCTCATCATCCAACGCTTCATCCAACAGTTCATCCAGCTCACTGTCACAGGCACCAGATTCATCATCAGAGTCGCTTTGAACAGCTTTCTTGTAGCTTGAATTATTCTTCTTCACCACCTACAATACAAAACAATTTAGATTTAAAGATATTTTTTCTCATGTAATTTTCATTAAGAACTTAAGAAGATTACTTTCCAGAGATGAATTGTCGTTGGTTATATATAATTTCACAATTTTATTAAGCAAAAAAAGGTGAATAAATAATAAAATAGATTACGACTGAGTCTCTTAAAGAAAAGCTTTTTTTTATGCACAATATATGACATCAACTTGTTTCCCGTCTTGAACACAAATCTATATAAAAATGGTTTAATTTTAGGGATATATAGAATATAAGTCATCTCACTTCTGAGTCATGTCTACAAGCTGTTTTCGAGAGTCCTAACGAATCGCCTTGCACGCAGGTTAGACGACTTCCAGCCTCCCGAACAAGCCGGTTTCCGAAAAGGCTTTAGTGTAGTAGACCACATATATACGCTGCGGCAGGTTATACAGAAGACCGAGGAGTATAATCTACCTCTTTGCTTGGCGTTTGTGGACTATGAAAAAGCCTTTGATTCGATCGAGACCTGGGCTGTACTGCAGTCTCTCCAGCGGTGCCAAGTAGACTACCGGTATATTGAAGCGCTGAAGGGTTTGTACGAAAACGCCACCATGTCAGTCCGATTACAGGATCAGACCTCGAAACCAATACCTCTGCAGCGTGGTGTCAGACAAGGGGATGTTATCTCCCCAAAACTGTTCACCGCTGCATCGGAGGACGTCTTCAAGGTTCTGGACTGGAAAGGACTTGGCATCAACATAAATGGCGAGTACTTATCACACCTTCGGTTTGCTGATGATATCGTAGTCATGGCTGAGACCGCGAAGGACCTGAGTACAATGCTCGATGATCTCAATAGAGCCTCCGAACGAGTTGGTCTTAAGATGAACATGGAGAAGACGAAAATCATGTCTAATGTCCATGTTGTACCGACTCCTATTAAGATCGGAGGCTCTACGCTCGAAGTTGTTGACAGCTACGTATACCTGGGACAAACGGTCCAGTTAGGTAAGTCCAACTTCGAGAAAGAGGTCAATCGTCGAATCCAACTCGGCTGGGCTGCTTTCGGGAAGCTACGTAGAATCTTCTCGTCCAGAATACCGCAGTGTCTCAAGACAAAAGTCTTCGACCAGTGTGTGTTGCCAGTGCTAACATACGGCACTGAGACGTGGCCGCTCACGATGGGCCTTATTAGAAAGCTCAAGGTCACTCAAAGGGCAATGGAGAGGGCTATGCTCGGAGTTTCACTGCGTGATCAAATCAGGAATGAGGAGATCCGCAGAAGAACGGGAGTCACCGACATAGCCCGAAGAATTGCAGTACTTAAGTGGCAGTGGGCAGGGCACATCGCTCGCAGAACCGATGCCCGATGGGGCCAACGGGTTCTCGAGTGGCAACCACGAGCCGGAAGACGCAGTGTGGGTAGGCCCCCAACAAGGTGGACCGACGACCTGGTGGTCGTGGTGAAGGTCGCGGGAATCCGCTGGATGCGGGTGGCACAAGACCGGTCGTCGTGGAGATCCTTGGGGGAGGCCTATGTCCTGCAGTGGACGTCTTTTGGCTGATGATGATGATGATGATGATAGAATATAAGTGTAAAACAGTTATAGTGTAATATTGTCAACAATAACACGACAGAAGTCGCGTGATAAACATATAGTATAATAAACTCAACTCACATTCAAGACCTCCCGTCCGAAAGATGTTTCAGCCCAGTTTTCTGACTTATCCAACTTTTCCTTAATATCTTCAGTACTGGAAATTTATAAAAATAATAAGATGTAGTAGAGTGTATGAAAGGTAATTATGTATCATTCCTCTTAACATATTGTGGTTTATATATCTGTGAATAAATCTTATATATTTAGATATTATATATGAGTTTTCTACAACATTTAATTTTTATTCGTTTAAAACATCATTTTAATAAAATATTTCTAAGCTAAGTAATTCTTTGTAGACCTTGGAATAGTCACTTTTTTTCATATCTCTACAATTTTTCATGTCGTTATGATGAATCAATACAAAAGTAATGTTGAATAAGAAGCCAAAGAAAAATTATATTAATTATGGAGGCTAATGAATAATACCAAAAAAAATTATAAAACTTTCTTTTAATTTAAGTGTATTGTTACTCAAACTTAACTTTTAACTGTTTTTGAGTTAGTTACTGAATTTTCTAGCTTTCATTACCAGAATACTATCCCAGTGTTGATTTATATTGTCTTAAATAATAATAATTAGTGGTGTCTATTTTTCTAAAGGATTGAATATTTTGCCAAATTTATATACATTCACAATACCCTGACTATTTCATAATCTTAAGTAACCAATCATTATTTAGATGTCAATAGGCCATGTTGACCATTCTAATGCCACAGACATACTCATGGCATTCAGTAATAAATTTAGAAACTACAAACTGCGTCTCAGCTACAGAAGATACTTTACTAATCATATTTTAAATTTATCTGATTAGATTTAAACCTAGTGTTATAAAATTTTGATGTTTGTTTAAAAATGTTGTTGTTCTAGAAAAAAAACCTTAAAAAATGATGATTTTTCATTGCTTATTGTAAGTTAGTATCGGGTAGAAAAATATTAAATGATTTTTTACTTTCGTAACAAATAAAATATTTTTTCTAAATAATATATGTACCTAATTGAAACTCAGTTATAAAACTCATGCCATGATTTTATCCAACTGTGACGAATTACCAAAAGAAGTTATGTTTGGAACTGATCCTAAAGAGATTTATTATATGTATGAACTAATAAATAATTTCAAATAATACATTTCACTCGGATAGATAAGACTCGTCTTTATATAAAACTATTTATATATGTCAAATAATACTATGTATATAAAGTTTATTATGTACCAATTAAAAGAGTGCGAGTACTTCCCCTGAACTGCTGATGGCAGAAATATACAGCCTCGTTTTAATACACGCAGTATCGATTTAGTTATCAAATAAAGAGTAATGGCTATTCAAATAATATAAAGATAATTTGATAGCAATCAAAACTTGTATGAAATTTTAATATATATTTTTACATAAAACTGTATTTTTCATCAAAAACAGAAATAAACAGACTAGACAGACAGACTAGAAATGTAGTAAAAGGATAAATTTATTAAAACGATTGCTTATAAGAAAAGCGGATAATGTTGAGAAATAACCATTTAGGAAGGTAATTTGAATAAAATAATACCTAAATAAAATAATAAATGTATAAATTTTTTAACAAATGTCTCATTACTCATATACTAGCTGATCCGGCAAACGTTGTTTTGCCATACAAAAAAAATAGGGGTTGGTGATAAAAAAGTTAAAAATTTGGGTTTTATGTATTTTTAAATGTTACATTATAAAATAATAAAAGCAAAAAATTCGTCTGAAAAAAATAATTTAGGGAGAAACACCCTTATGACTAAGGGGTATGAAAAATATATGTTGGTCTATTCTTAGACCTCTCAATATGCTCACAAAATTTCATCAAAATCGGTCTAGACATTTCGGAGGAGTTTTGAAATGTCTAGCACCGCTACACGAGAATTTTATATATAAGATATATAATAATAATAGTCATGTACTTTCACAGATATATAAACCACACAATATGCCAGGAGAAATGAAATACAAGTGTAGTATCAAATATTTTATTTACAAAATCGTTATAAACCTTTTTCTATTATCACAGATAAAAACAAAAACTTATATATAACCTGGAAAAGATATTAAGTAGTCACATGAAGTATATGAAGATTAACTTCACATATAAAGTAGTCGAATGTTGAAGACTTATTAAATATAAGCAGTATTAATTTTAAGTAGATTTTCCTAGTAGAACTTTTTCAGTCTAAAATTACTGTATTTTAAGACAGTGGTATATTATGTAAGTAGTATATTGTCAATGGTAAATGTCACTAGTGTCAAAACAATTAATGGTTCCGTATACTTTTCTAATTAATAATAAGCTTGAATTACGATTTTTCAACGTCAAATTCATTACAAGACACTATCCTGTTATCCCATGTATACTACGTGTATAAACTCGAAACTGTTGGTGTTAAGTTTAAAAACGAAATCTCGTACTAAAGGTACCTCAGTAAAAATCGAAGCCATTACCATTTGAGTGAATTCAAAGACGTTGTTACCACTGCTATATGTCACCTATATTTGATTTATATGTTTATTCTTTATAATTCATTTAATAAATCTATATAGATCCTTATGATGATAGATATTTAATTGATGTCATGATTACAGGATATCAATTGACTTATATTAATACAATAGTACTAATGTATAAATTATGCTAAAAAAAATGATAAATCTATACTAGATATAGGCATTACAACAGTCTTATGTAGTTACAAGCGGATGTCGAATATTAACCTTTGACCTTTAAACTATGTCCTTTGACCTATGAGGCTAATTTCAATGTTGCATCACTATTTCTAACATAAAATCTATGAGAATTTTGTTAATCTAGATCAGATATTTTTTCATATGTACTTAGTATTCTCATATTATTACGTATTTTGATTGATATTTATATATTAGGTATATAATTTATATAGATTATAGCGATCCACTATTTTGATAAAGGGTAATGTAATATGTATTTAGGAAACGATCTAAAATAACACTTATATATATGGAATAAAGTCTATTTTTTAACTACGTGTAATTATCTGTTAGCTGCTAAGTACTTAGGGCGTAGGTTAGAAGCTAACTATGCGAGGTATTTCATTGACCAAGACGCGGCATCAAAAGATTAAAAGAGATTTTTTAATTTCACAGAAAAGTATAAAATTTTACGAATAAAAATTTCGTTAGTCCCAACGACATTCGTCCTAATATATCAAATTTTACGTCCAAATAAATATATACGTAAAAGTATCAAAAAATTCAGTCGAATATATGCCAAATTATAATGGCCAGTTAGCCGAACTTCTGTGGGGGCTTGTCAAATGTTAATTTAGCCCAATCCAAAGACTAACGTATGCTAATATATCAAGTATCTGAAGTTTTTTTTCCATTTTTTTTGCCTATATGATCAGATACATAGGAAAAAGAACACACACTCCATCGTATAATGTCCACACCTTGATCCACCGCAGTCTGAATACTCCTCGTGGCTATTTGAATTGTCGGTGTCTAAGTCCGACAGGTGAGGGTACAGACCGGTCGGCTGGCTCACTATTGGACCGCTCTCTTTGATATTGTTCACTTTGATCCTTTTGACTTCGTCAAGAACTGATAAGACCACCGGTGAGTCTTGGGAACCTGAAACATGATGGCTTATGTAGTTATATCTTTGGACTAGAGTACGCTATTAATAAGGTTTTGTGTGACGTCATCGGTTGGCGACGTCATCAACCACCCTTAAATCATCATCATCAGCCTATCAGAGCCCACTGCTAAGCAAAGGCCTCTACTAACATGAAGGTATGAGCATTAATCACCACGCTCGCTCAAGACGGGTTGGTGATTTCAGACTTATAATTTCAAATTATAAGACCAGGTTGCCTCACGATGTTTTCCTTCACCGTCTGTCAGTGGTTTCTAAATACTCTCAGAAAGTACATATGATTCCGAAAAATCACATTGGTACTTGCCAGGTTTGATCCCGCGCCCTCATGCACGGGAGGCAGGTCTTTAACCTCTAGTCCCTACAATGTTACATCTATTTTAATACTCACTTCGTCTCTTAGCAGGCTGAGTCTTTTCATCGACTTTCTCGATTTTGTCCGTCTTTGGCACATTGGCAATGATCTCAGGTTTCTTGGCGGCCGCCAGACTGGCCGTGCTGCCCATCAGAGGAGCCTTCTCAGACTCGTGATCATTGTCATCGTCTGATTCATTGTTTTCGGGTTTAGGATTAGAAGTTGGCTGAAAAAATAAATGTATTAAATTACAGTTTTAACGGCTAATACAGTAGATTAAATCTTAATGATAATTGTTGTTAAAAAGATGAAATAGGAACCTGATTTAACTGTTGCAATATTTGACTTTAAAAGGCTTATTAATTATTATCTTTTAGTATTTGTTACTTTTATAGACTTTTACACGGAAAAAAGTACAAAAATAATAATATTGAAAGCTATCATGAGCTTAAAGGATCGCGTCTTTAAATAATGAGTCTTGTAGTGAGCAGAAACGGTAAGTATTTGTCTCAGCGAGGTGGTAATTAGAAAAACCTTTGTCCATTGACCATATTTGGTGCAACGCCAATTCACAGTGAGTATTGTAACAGATTTCTCTGTTAACGCCATACATTACTAAGTCATGAGAAAGTTATGTGTCAAAATTATCACATGTCTGTACTAACATAATTCCGAACGTATGGGAAAAATGTATGCAAAAAATATATATTTCAGTACAGTTATAGTTTCATGGAATGGTAGAAAAATACTTGGAATTTATTTGAAGTCTTTCCAAAACAATAATAATTTTAATTTGTAATAATTTCTTGTCGGAGATATGTTTGTCATTTGCTTATATATTACTAAATTATACAGGGTGACTGGTGAATTACTATCGATATTTGAGGACGTGATATTTGACGATCATATATGACAAAATAAAAATTAATATAACATAAATATTAATAAACTTTTAAGTAAAGTTAACCAAAAGTTGTGTAATTAATTACGCATCGTGTGAACACCCTACAGATTAGGTATACACTGACACTCACACATACGCGTGTCGTGACGTAGTGTTGTATCAGCACGTCGCCGCACGCGTCCACACATGAACATTTGGAACGTGTCAACACTTTACTTATTATTACGGAAATTTTGTCAAAAATTAAGTGCCTATTTTTTTACATAATTCGAATGAGAATCATGTACCGAGTATTCTCCTTAAATATTGATAGTTATTCACCAGTCACCCTGTATATTTATTGTAACTAAGTCTCTTATTTTTCCTGCAATTTTAAGATTCAAGAGGAAAACGAAGATTTATTCAATTAATTGCGAGGTGACAATATTAACAATTTTCCTATATGAGGAAAACATAGAAAAAGGAGCGAACTGAGGAGAAATTATATGTTCGTAATAGAGATATTATGGTATGGAAGCATTCCAAATAAAGCGATGCCTGATGCGGTTAGTCGAACAAAAAGTAGACGACTCCACGATCCACATCCAGATAGGGAGAACCAGAATAACATATGCTATTTGAAGGTTGTGGGGAGCATTGCTTAGAGGATTAACATATTTGTTGGGAATAAAATAAATATATTTCTTAGAAAACGACTATGTACGCACCAAAAAAGTGGTTTAATGAATTTGTAAATCATATATTAAATTTTTGTAGGAGAAATTTGTGGAACGTCTTGATTTTGAAAGCAATATATTCAGTACATACAAAAACACTAACGTGTAAACAATATAAGGATATTTGTATTTTTGTAAGAGTTCCTAATTCTTATGTATATTAATAAAATTTAAATTTGGTACAATAGTTCTATTATAACATTCCGGGGAATATTTAAAGTAGAAACATCGATTATATCAGAGCTCCAATGATCCTATGACTCAAACAGTTCGTAACCAGGTTCCTAAGTGAACAAAAACCCATCTCACCTTATAGTGGAATCTATTCTGCAACATTTCCATTTCCCTGTCCCTCTCCTGTCTGTATTTATTAGCGATGTTTGTCTCGCTGATCGTCTGTTCCTTATTGAATAACGCTGCTAACTTCCCTTTAATTCCTCCACCCAAGGAAGATTGACTTATGGTGTCTTCTGACAAACTATCCTTTGAATTAGAGATTGTCTTTTCTGGAGTGTTTTTGGTTGGCGTTCGTTGCGCTGGTTTCTTTGTGTCTGAAATATTTTTTATTGATATAATATTGATATCAAAGAATTAATTAAATTCTATTCAGCGCCATGTGTTTCATGTGAGTCATATGTTATGTGTTTGTATTATTTTCTATGTACGTGACACATCACGTGTAGCTTATGGGCCTAAATTTCTTTAATCATTAACTTAATTAAATATAATTTAATATATATACTATTATTTTTCAAGTATGCGTTGACATAACATAATTTGTACATATTTTTTCAGCCACCGTTCTATAATAAGCTTCTTTGTAACATTTTTATTTCAAAGAACAATATATTTTTTTTAACATTCTCATAATATAAAACTTGTATTACATTATTTCACTTCAAATCTCAACATATTTTTTTTTTTCGAAACCAGTCTTTAAAATCACGATCTTTAGGTCACTGACGTTAATGCCAAAACACTTAAGTTCTTATATATTTATTATCATTAAATATACTACAAACATAATATTTAAATATATTTAATATATGCTTGACTTTTATATGTACGTACATATTTTCATTTATATAAAACAAAACAGACGGAGTCGAAAACATGAACTAGTTAACAAATTTACTGTAGCTGTAACAGAATAACAAGCGTTCCACCAATATGAGGGTAATTTGAAATTATAATCGATTCTAAAACTTCTACTATGGAAATAAAACTTATATTAAGTTGGTTTAAAAAAAACTTGTTTAATCATCATAACGTCTTTTTATACTATACATAGTGTTATGTATAATATTTTATATAATACAAATATATATACGCATTTCAGTAATACAATATTTTACAATAATTTTCTCAACCGCGATACAGACGTTGCGAAATTCCGTTGTAGTTCAACACCGATCTAGTCTCGAGGAAACCGAGTATTGAAAGTCATTGTAATAGATAGAAATCTAATATATATATATTTGAGATTTATACAAGATAAATATAATAGCCCATAACCATGTATATGAAAAATATAAAAAGAATAATAATGGTAAAATAATCATATATAATGATTCTCTGTTATATAAATTTTGGAATATATAAATTTGAATGTAATTTTTATACTACAACTTCTTCATAGTAGTAATCACGTAAACTAGTAGTCTCGTGTATATTAAATCAAATAACAAAAATATATTTTACTTACGATTCAATCACTGTATGAGAATATATTTGATAATTTTATTATTATGAAAATATATCACAATTTTAATATGATATATTATATATAGAATAAAAATTATTATGTGGATAATTTTAACTATTTATCTAACCATCTGCGCGTGCGCACGTCCCCTAACCAAATGGCCCGAAACGGTCGCCGATCACAGACTGTCTATAGTCATATGTATGTCTGTATCTTATTACAAGGGAATAAAGTCTAAAATCAAACCAAACTATATACTCTCTATTACAATGCATTAAGGTTGAAATTCCTATATGTAAATTCTTCAAAGTCCGCTGTTCAGATGTCGTCAACACTGTGCGGATGATTGCGTTAACGTTTTTGGATCTTTTGTTGTTACTCTCGCTTCAATGCCTCAATGATCAAGTACGCCAATAATATTTATGTTAAACAAAATCATTTTTACCTATATAATAAATTTATTTATTACCTATTTAGCCAAAACTATTCACAATATGTAAGGCAGACCTTGGCTAAAGCTGTGAAAATTGCCAGGCAGAAGAAGAAAGAGAAAAATAAATCGGTCTTTAACAAGTAAAATATTTAAATTTTGAACTTTACACATGTAATTGATACTTAAAATCAGTATGTCATAAGGTTTCCAAGGATTACACATTCGTTGAAAAACCGGTGTAGGATAACGCGACGTTGTTTTATATAAAGAGCTTTGTAAACAAATAAATCGGTATATTTCTTTGGAAATCTGATTGCAATTAAAGAAATTATTGTAATACATTTAAATAAAACTATTGTATTTAAAATTGAAGCTAGCTAGTCTGTTTTTAAGTCTCAGACGCGACAAAAAAAAACCGTTCTAACAGTACTTAGCCAGAATGACGTAGATCAAGTATATATTTTAAAGTTACTAATCATGACGCAAATGTATTTTTTATCAATAAATATACACATATTTTAATATATTTTTATATAATATAAATATAATGTTAATACTATGTCTCTTTATATAAAAGAAAGTCGTTTTAGTTACACTATTTATAACTCAAGATCGTCTGTAGGGATATGGTTGAAATTTGGTGGAGAGATAGCTTAGAACCAGGAGACGAACGTAGGATATTTAGTTCTGTTCGATCAAAAAGAAAAAAATAATAAATTCCAATATCTGTTTTTTTAATGTCCAGAAGGAAGGAATATTTCGCCAGGTCAGCTATACATATGTACATATACGATTAATTCCGAAATGACTAGGTGAAGTCGCTGGCGAAAGCTAGTAATATGTATAATAAAAAATATTGAGATATACATATAACTACGTAACTGTAAGTGTTACAGTTCAAATTATACGTTGAACTATCAACGTTCGAGTTGAGAAACTATCAAAGTATACGTTTGGTGGACAACCGTTTCCGTTTCCCACATTTAAACATTACCTCATAATGTACGGTTAAGTAAATAATGTGTTTGAGTTAAATAGAATAGAAATACTATTGAGATTTATAGATTTGTGATTTGTCTGCCATTGATAAGGGTGGTCAAATTATATACATATATATATGTCTTCTTCTACCTGACTAGTTCCCAGCTTTAGCCAGGGTCTGCCTTTGTTATTGTAAATAGTTTTAGATAATTGATTTAGTATGTTGTAGTACGAAAAAAATATTAGTAAACATATTGATAGTTTATCAGACATTATAATTATTAATTAAATTTTATATATAAAATAAAATTGCTAATATGTAATTCTCTTAGGAATCAAGATGAAATTTTAAGGTTTCGTATATTTCGCTAGCCAGACATACATACACATATATCTCACAAAACAGTACAGTTATTTAGACGTAGAGAAGTCTTGTAAACAATCGGGTGACGCTAGAACATTACTGTTTCATACAACCGTTATGAAAAGTCACGGAACACTAGTTCAGGGTGACATTTTATTATATACAAGCTAGTGACCGCGGGTTTGCTCACTTTGATTTATATATTGGGGCTCAGAGAGAAATAAGTATAGAGTTTTAATAACATATATATTATCAGTGTCTAGTGATGGCATACAAAAAATACGTTGTCTCCGTAGCAATTATGGTATTTTGAGACAAATTATATAAGTCTTTCTAAATTACTATCTATATACTTGAAAAATAACAAACATAGACGCATACGTAATCCCATTTGTAATCTTCTTCTACCTGGCAATTTCCCAGCTTTAGCCAGGGTCTGCCTAACGTCCCCATTTGTAATATTTGTAAGAAATGCAAAATATCACAATTTTACTGCATACTACTTTGTCAACTTTTCTTTTACAAAAAAATCGGAATTCTCGTGATATGTTAACAAAAATAAAATGATTACGAAAATAATTTTACTTCTTTAAGTGAAAGAATAAGTTATATAGCCAAATTATATATATACATTCATACATCGTAAATACCATATAATATACAGGGTGACTGGTGAATTACTATCGATATTTAAGGACGTGATTTGTGACGATCATATATGACAAAATAAAAATTAATATGACATAAATATTAATAAATTTCTAAGTAAAGTTAACCAAAAGTTATGTAATTAATTACGCATCGTGTAAACACCCTACAGATTAGGTATACACCCACACTCACACATACGCGTGCGGCGGCGTTTTGTTGTATCAGCACGCCGCCGCACGCGACCACACTTGGAACACTTGGAACGTGTCAACACTTTATTTATTTATACGGAAATTTTGTCAAAAATTAAGTACCTATTTTTTTTACATAATTCGAATGAGAATCATGTACCGAGTATCCTCCTTCAATATTGATAGTAATTCACCAGTCACCCTGTATACATACATATATTTCAAATAGAACCAACTGTTATTATATATATAATATATATGTATATATGTAAACAAACCACTTACATGTCAATAGCTTTTATGTGTCATATTTAAATAGCCATTATTATGTTTCCATTTTTCTGATGGACTGTTTGAATAGCTGACAGATTAATACAAAAATGATTGTTTTATAATGAGTATTTTTACTAATTCTTGCATACTACACACGTAGCGTTTCGCGTTTCTCATTAAATAATAATAACTATTGAATAGTACGTAAGTTTTTGGAATCCGGATAATGAGTTGACCGATTGTGTCACTGTACTGACTGACTTTTTCACACACCAGACACATCTGGTCACTGACTCGTGTGTCTGGATTATTTTTGACCCTTAAGGATATAAATAGTGGTAGCGTAGTGGTTAAAAGGTCCGCCTCTCATGCACGAGGGCGCGGGTTCTATCCTGGCAAGTACCAATGTGATTTTTCCAAGTCATATGTACTTTCTGAGAGTATTTAGACACCACTGATTAATGCTGATTCCCAAAGAGGGTTGATGTCAGGCAGGCGGCCGGTCGTAAAAACAAATAGCAAAAACTATTTACAACATGTAAGGCAGACTCTGGCTGGGAAATTGCCAGGTAGAAGAAGATTAAGGATATAAATAGTATAAGCTAAATAATAATTATAATAGTAGCCTTTATATAACTATGACAGTATATACATATTATTTTTCATTGAACAATCTATGGTAATGGAATCATAAAGATTTATGGAAAAAATAGTTGAAATTCTCTATATGTATTCACGATGCGAATTTGTGGTAATCACAGATACATATATATGTCATAGAAATTTTTGGCCTATACATATAAATCGTAGACACAGATTGACAAACGCTATGAAAAACCTAATTATTTCGTTTTAAAACTAATCGCATTTGACACATGTATCAACACTTAAAAAACCATTTTCAAAAATACAAGTAGGTAATATATGCAAAATTTTATTAATATTAATTCTAGCTTTTAAAATTATCAGTTCCATACGATATATATTTAAACAAAACATTGATTTATAATTTAAATATATTATTTTCGTATCTCGTTAAGTTAATGATACTACGCGTTTTTTTATTATTTCTGAGAAAAGATAAAATTGTCTAAGACACTTTCATCTCGTCTGGCCATTATCACGGTTGCTGTGAAGGAACCGAAACGTCGAGATTACGTATGTAGTTATAAAATACTAGCTTTCCGCCCGCAGCTTCGCCCGCGTCGAGTTCGGTTATATCGCGTTTCCAAGAGAACCTTTCAAAAGTCTGGGATAAAAACTATCCTATGTTCTTTCTCAAGGTCAACTCTATCTCTGTACCAAATTTCATTAAAATCAGTTCAGTGGTTTAAACGTAAAAGCGTAACAGACAGACAGAGTTACCTTCGCATTGATAATATTAGTAGGGATTACGCGAAAATCTTAAATATCTCTATAAATGTATTGAGACTGCATCTTATATATAAAATTCTCGTGTCGCGGTGTTAGACAGAGAACTCTTCCAAACGTTGACCGATTTTGACAAAATCTTGTGAGCGTATTGACTAGGTCTGAGAATTGGCCAACATCTATTTTTCATACCCCTAAGTGACAAGGGTTGTTCACTCTTAATTTTTTTTTAATTTTGGACGAAACTTTTGTTTCCATTTTTATGTTTCATTAAAAAAATACATACAACCCAAAATTTTTACTTTTTCATCACCAAATCCTATTTTTTATATGTCAAAACCACGTCTGTCGGGTCAGCCAGTTTTTAGATAAAACCGTAACCTTTAATACCTTAAATGTGGTAAACTTTGTCTTTCTGCCCTTGGCTGCATTCTAGACTAAGTAATAGCTGATCTAACACGATACGATGTATATAGAGCATGTAAAATAAATATTATATTACATATATGTACATCGTTATATAATAATTATATACTAATAATAACTATATACAAAAAATATGACCAAAAAAAAACTTAATAATTACAATATGTACTGAATTTTTGTTGCACTTTTATTATACATAAAATTATTTCCTATTATTTGATATTTTTTTCATATATTAAAATGTGTTTGTCTGTTTGTACATGTATACATCATGAATAAGTTGTATCGAGGACAAAATTTAAATTTTCCCTAATTACCCAATAATATTAATTCATCATTATCTATTGTCAATATAATTTATTCCAATAATAAACTGAACATTGTTCTGATGTTGAAAGGTAGTTAAACGTTTTAGGCTACGCTAGAGACAAGATAATTACTGTAAATAAAACATTTACAACAATACGTACTTAGTAAAAATATCAAATACATCTTCTATTGTCACTGATAACACGGATAATAATTTTGTATATTATGAAAGCTGGGATTTGGAAATACATTGACACACACACACTAACGCAAGCACGCACGCACGCTCACACACACACACACACACACACACGCACGCACACACACACACACAAATAACTTCAATCCATATCTTTGTTTATATTAACAAAACTATTACGAGATGGGGAACTACGAAAGGGGTTGTGGCACCACCTGGTAAAGGATTTTTATAATTCCAACCTTAATTATACAACATTAAAATCCATTTTCCTATACGTTGTATAATATATGCATTGACCTGCCAGCTAAAGTTCACGATACTTTTTGCTAAGCGATGACGGCTGCTAGATTCCTATATAGAATGAATTTATATAATCTTCTCTTTTAATGTATTAGACTGAGCAAATAAATATAAAGTTGCTAAATAATGATTATTTTCATCATGATTATATAATACATTAAAAAATATATTTATTTACTTAAAGGCAAAATTTTAAGTTTTTAAAATTTGTTTTTGCTAATAGTTTTTATAATAAATATACCTACATATTTTTAATTCTTACTATTAAAAATACTTGAAATATTTCGAGGAAAGACTTATCTATGTAAGAAATAAATTTGATTTGTCTCAGGCTTACACAGCTCGACTAATATTAATACTATCTCAAGTATATATGTAAATAATTTGATAATTTCAAATCGATCAATATATTATTATTAATTGACAGTCCATAATACTTATTATAATAACCAAATAGTTGCCAAAAAAATCTATACCAAACTGGTTTGTCAGTTCATTGACCTTTTATACACAGATATAAATTTACGTACAGCGACTATCATAATAAAAAAATGTCTGTAGTCATCAACGTAATATGAAAATGATATAATCTAATGAAATTAATTACTATAGAAATAAAAATTAAATACTCGTATGTCAAAAATTACTTTCATAATAATTAGTTTAGGAGTTATTCAGTAACGAAATGACGAAATATTCATACATATAGTTGTGAATCATTTAGATAAATATTTTAGTTTTCATAATAAATTCAAAACGCACAACAAGGAAAACCGCGGAATTAAAATTTTTCAAGGTTTTACATAAAATACGGGCAATTATACTTGGAGATGTATGATGTAATAATTTATATACAGATATATAAAAAGCATTTAAATATATTTATATATATATATATATATATATATATAGTAGTCATATAAAATAACTTAGAAGTGACCATCCTAACTAGAAGAGGAGATGATACTGCCTAACAAAAGTCTATCTAGAAAAATTAAATAAGCTAAGTAAGACCAAAAAGTCAAGTCTTATTTTAACTACAATTAATTTATATATATATATATATGTAGTTACTATCATGGTTTAATTACTATACGACAAAATATTACATAACTTAGCTCTTTATCAAAAATCTTATACAATTTAAACCATACTTAAATAAAACATTTATTTAAAAATTATTCAAATAACAAAATACTTGTAATACTTTATATTATATAATAATATTTCTCAAATATAATCCGTAATAAAGAAATAAGCTATTACATGATTACATAGAATAAAGACGAATGCTCAACGTAGTCTTACTGTGAGGAGTTACGAGAAATATCTTACTACCCTCAAATACCATTTATATATTTTTAATTACTATTACTGTTTCTTTTATAAAAAACAAATATTTTTTTGATAATTATGATTTTTGATAAATGAATTCGTTATATTACTTTTTACTATATTTTTCTTGTTTTACGTCAGAATTAAAAGCATATAATTTTAATAACTATATGTATATTATATCTATCTATATCTATTTTTAAATTAGTTTTAATAACATATACATATTATATCTAAGAGTATCTTTGCATATATAAGTAGTTTTTTATTATTTTCATATATCTAACGAGTTTCACAACATCGGAAGAGTATTTCGTATGTGATTATTTACATAAAAATTGCAACTATTTATGTAATCAGTACAAGTTTAGCATTTTAACTGGAAGCCTATCAAATGAAAACTACAATTAAAGTACTTTAGACTAATGTAATCAAGAAAATTAGTACATGAACTAATTCGCTTTGATAATGTTAACTTAATGTACACTTTTTATAAATATAGATATCGGAACTATTGGATAATATATATATATATATTGTATTTGAACTTTGACCTTTATCTAAATAAAAATATATTAATTTATAATGAAAGTAGAAGCAGATTCATTTGTGTTTTTTGTTATTTATTATCCTATTTCGTATACTGTAGCATTAAAATGTTCATAAATAGGATTTCCTGCAACTCTAAAACGTATCTAATTGCTAACGTAAAATGTTTATTGAGGATACGTGAAAAAATGCTATATTTGAATGATATAGCTATATTAGATAATAGGAAGTGATTTTATTTAGTAAATCAGTTGAGATTTTAAAGAATAACGTAATTCTGTACAAATTATGTCAATATCTGAGGTTAAATGATTTATTTTATAGTGTATTTGAATAGCCTCATACTTTTGTAATCTGTGTATAAATAATAATAATATTCCATTGTCACTATAATAATTACCACGAATACTGTGTATTGTATTGTAACACATATTTTTAAATGACTATCAACAAAGAGATAGATGTATCATGGTGATAATGTATGAAAAAAATTATTGTTAGTATAGGCGCTGAACACATGTGTGTATAATATCTTACCTTTATCGCCGTGCAGGGTTCTGACAGAGGGTGCTAGTCCGAACGGGGCCTTAGGTACTATGGCGGCGCCCTTATTCTTTTCAAACAAAGCCTTCCGTTCCCTGAGCGACATTTCGGCCGGGTCTTTTTCTTTCATACGAGGGCTGCCGGACTCAAACATCGCTGCTTTTGACATGACGGAGCTCCTATCCTCACTAGTCCGCCTGACTGTTCTTCTAGACGGGGAATCAATCGCCGGCTTGTCATCAGCCTTATCATCATTATTAAGATCTATTTCGTTGTTCTCTTTGTCTTTATCACAGCCGTTCTCTTCTATAATCTTGCCGGGCGGCGTCGGTGCCCTGTACTTCTTGATGGACGGTCTCTTAACGACCGGCGACGCTGCCAGTGTCGCCATGCTGGGGGCTGATGTCGCACTGGGGGTAGCTGTCTTCGGCTCCTGTCGGTTTCGAACGAAATCGTACACCAGCCGCGATTGGCTGGCTGATACGCGGCGGTAACCCTCGCTCTCCTGGGATTGGACAAGGGCAGCGGATCGCGTTAGCACGTGTTAGATGTACGAACTATGACGGTGTTGCATCGAGATTGATAGAGCCGGGTTCAGTTCACTAGCAGCCGTGCTGTTCGACAGACGGCCCGCGAGCGACTGACGGGTCAGTACAGACAACACGTGCGCGGACATACGAGAAAAAAAAACAACTCCGCGCACATGATTTTTACGTATTAAATATACATAGAATAAAAACGCATCTCAATTATTCTGACAAAGTTAAATAAACTAATGTTTCATTCATGAGACAAAGGTATGCTATGAGTACATAGGAACAGTTAACTGTTTGTTTTCTCAAACAGATCGTTTCCGAAGTTTGACTTGCATTCTATATATAAACATCGATTGATTTTGTATCTTATTGCTATACACATAAAGTCTATAGTCGTTTAAATATAATTTTAGTATTGGAGCATCGCACAATGCTCTTTATTCATAACAACAAAGGGATTGCTTTGCGTTAGGACAAAGAGTTTGTAATGAGGAATAATATTAAGTAAGGAACAAATGTACGAGTTATATTTACAGTTTTAGTATTATTTTCTATATAAACTTACAGTATTTAATATGTTCAGTACTATTATTTTAGAATATATATTATAAATTTTAATTACACATGTATAATAACATCATTGTTTCATGTCTGTTAATCGTCATTGGAAGACGCCAACTTTGAATATTGATGCGGAATTAAAAACGGAGTATCCCAAGGCTAGGCTTACTCATTTGAAACGGTTGTTAAAATTATAATACATATATATATATGTGTGTGTGTGTGTTTGAGAGGAAGGATTTCATCTTAGAAACACATAATAATTTATTTAACCCATTCTTAGAATTGAAGTACTCTTCTAAAATAATCATCTTCTAAGCTATAGATAATCTTATTCAAGTTTAATAGATATTTTTTAAACCGTTGTAAACTTGAGGTTCGTTTCAGTGGTCATCTAATTGCTAGCAATAGTTCTAAGTAATATTAGTCTGAGTACAATCGTTAAGTAAACACCTCAAGTTTCTACGTTTTGTGTAAATTAAACTTCTACTAAAGTTCTTATAAATACGTTCGTAGTAAGAGAAAAACTAATTTGCTATCACAAGTATATGAAGTATGTGATTTTTTTTACATATAATAACTATGATTCATGTAGATTTTAGGTAATGTATAGAAATCAGTAGTTTCCTGTAATTCACAATATATCTTAACATAAATTTAAAGATTTTTTTTTATTTCTTGTATAAATTATTTGTAACTAAAAAATATATATCTTCATATCATAAAAAATTATTATAAACGCCACATGTCAAGTGTAGTGTTTTAAACTATTTTAAACAAATTAATAGTCGGACGGAGCCGCGTGCATCAGCTAGTTGTTAATAAAAGCGTTCCTAACCATTGATCCGGTTGGGGTTAAACCAAGACTAGTATTTACATAGTTTTAAAAAAATATTAAAAAGTTGAGTAAAATAGAAATATACATTGAAAAACTATTAGAGAAGAAAAAAATATTAAAATAATGTATATGTATATATTATTCTACTTAAATATATATAATAATGGAAGAATATTTCCACATCTTGATTCTTCTATTTCAACCATTGTTAAGTTTCTTTCGTATAATCTATAAATACTACAAAAACGCCATAATTGCTGGCATTAAATTGAACCATAAGGTCGCCCCGGCATTACCGACACTCGCCATGGCCATTCCATTAATGTTTTGATGTCATAAGATGAGCAATTATTCGCATAATTGCATCAGCTGTTATTACAAAATCTGGTATTTAATGCCATATAGGATGAGCTTGGCGTTTAGCTGTCACAAATGCCATGGCATTAAACCCGTATTCATAGTTCAAATTGATTTCGTCTATTAGGGTATCGTTCTTAATCAGACCTCACCAAATTGTGATGGACATACCCTAATATTAACAAGGTCAATGACCTCCATTTCAATTTTCGTAGGATTTACGATGTGGTTATATATTAAAGTTTTTTTTTATATCAATTGTATTAATTTTTATGCGTTTATTTTCTGTTTTACTTATTATTTAAATTAATTTAGTAGGTACATATGTTAGTTCCACTAATGGCAGTATTTGGTGCGTCTATATATAAATCAAGTTAATTTTATTCTTGTTTACCTTACACTACCAACTATTCATTCTGTATAAGGTTCTGTTTACTACCATACAACTCGGATAAACAATACTCCTTATTACATATTCTTGTTAAGTTTAAATGTTACTGAACTTAAGTACTTCTAAACATTTTTATACTATCATCAGCCTATCAGAGCCCACTGCTGAATCTCTTCTCACATGGAGAAGGTTTGAGCATTAATCACTACGCTTGCTCAAGACGGTTTGGCGATTTCAAACTTATAATTTGCTTATAAGCCCAGGTTTCCTCACTATGTTTTCCTTTATCAGTAAGTGTTGTCTTAATACTCTTAGAAAGTAGGTACATATGACTCGGTTAAAACACATTGGTACTTGCCAGGATCGAATCCGCGCTCTCATGCATGAGAGGCGGGCCTTTAACCACTAGGCCACCATTGTATACTATACATCTGTATAAATACGTTTATATTATACACTATTTTTTATTATACACGTGGGAGGTCTGAATAAAGAGGTCGTAAAATACAACTCCCAAAAATATCTTCTCAGTTCTGAGATAACAAAATTGTAAGTTGATCTTTGTGTTACACAACACTAATACACTAATGAGTATGTTTTTTAAGAGTAATAATTGACTGGTTGAACCATTGTTACGTCATAACCCATATGTACTACGCAGTTAATTAAACTTGTTGTAATTTATAAATAATTTCCTTACTTTATATGGAATAATTATTGAATAGCGCGAATTCTGGACGTCCCAATTACTTTATAGAACTTAGTACGCTCTTTAACTTGAAAACTGACAGTATTACTTTTGTTTTATCCGATACTAACTTTCCGCCCGCAGCTTCGCCCGCGTGGAGTTCGGTTATATCGCGTTTCCAAGAGAACCTTTCAAAAGTCTGGGATAAAAACTATCCTATGTTCTTTCTCAAGGTCAACTCTATATCTGTACCAAATTTCATTAAAATCAATTCAGTGGTTAAGGCGTGAAAGCGTAACAGACAGACAGACAGAGTTACTTTCTCATTTATAATATTTGTAGGGATGTTCGTATTGATAAAATTTATGAATGAGGAACATTATAACTGAATTGAAATGTCTTGTAGATCTTTCTAACTATGGGACATGCAATTAAAATTTATATGATAAACTAGTTTTTACCGCCGACTCCGTCTGCATTGACTTCGGAATTAGGATCAGAAAGAAATGTATGAATTATGACGAGACAAACACATAATATAATTACTTTAACCTAATCCAGAATCTTAAAGTATTAGGATAAATTTGAGCCTATCTCCCATTAAAATATCCAAGCTACATTGTTAGGTAGATTCATTCAAAACTGTTCAGTAGTTTTTCGTATAAGAACAATAAACATACGTACATACTAACAAACTTTCACATATAACATTAGTAGGAAGAAATTAAGTGATAAACAGGTGATTTCAATACATTTACCTAAAACTATACATACATATTTATGTATTATATATATATATATATATATATAAACGGAAAACGTACCTCAGGTTCAACGACCTTACATCAAGATAAGAAACGTCGCAAAAAAGGACTGACACTGTCAAAATATTGAGATAGTGGATCGTCTGTATAGAATTCGGCTTTGTAACTTGTTTTGTATTATATTTAACTATATAAGTAGTATATACAATATTAAATACAAGGTTTTATTTTATTAAAAAAAAATGTCATACTGATACAAAACTTTAAAAGATATATAATGTACTGATACTTTAGAATATATAACATTAGTTTTTGGTCGCAACTACGTCCGCTTGAATGTCAAAGTTGCTCTCATAGAGGTATGTGTTAAAATAATAAATATAGTAACCTACGAGACAGCCTTTTTATTTTAAATGACCAACATACTGACTTCAGCGCCATCGGCCTTGCTAATTTATGAATCCAAATCATCTAGGGCACCACAAAACTTCTTACAAAAATTAATACAAATCGATCCAGCCATTTAAGAGTTCAGTGACATACATACAGTAGAAATATATATGAAAAAATGAATCACAAAATTTGAATATTAATTGCAATACCAACGACGGAAGTGCATCAGGAAGTATGAGTGATGCAAGAGAGAGAGGTGGTACCACCCAAGATTGAATCAGAACATTGGAGACATTTCCTTGGTTCGTCGACTTATATGATGTTATAAGGCCTCGGCCTCGAATTTTGCGGGCAGCGGAGCGGGAGCGGGAGCGGCAGGATCTTACGCGTATAATCAAATGGACCGACCCTCGAATACAGCGGTGCCCGCTGCCCGCTATTTTGGAGAAATGTATGCGTTTTCGTGCCGCCGCCGCTGCCGCTCGAAAATTCGAGGCCGAGGCCTAACAGTTACACTACCATCGGTTCTCATACACACTACGTACAGAACGTACCCAGTTTTTCATCTATACTAATCTATACTAATATTATAAAGCTGAAGAGTTTGTTTGTTTGTTTGAAAGCGCTAATCTCCGAAACTACTGGTTCGAATTGAATAATTCTTTTTGTGTTGGATAGTCCAGTTATCGAGGAAGGCTGTGGGCTATATATGTTATATAGCCCACAGCCTTCCCACGCTACGACCAATAGGAGCAAAGATATCCGTCCTTCCGTTTCGTGCGCCGTAAAAACGGTTCAAGATACACAAAAAATATGTACATATTAAAAAATAATAGCTCTTTTAATGATCTAAAAAACAGTCCGCGACAGTATATATCTATCTTTTAAGATGAACTCACAAAAACCGTTTTTATGGTACCTAATTTGGTCGAAATAATTTGTTTAAGTTGTATCAACATAATAATAATAATCTTTAT